CCCAGCCTGCTGCAGTCTGTTTGCTGATCTCAGACACACCATTTCACACCCCCCTCAGACCTTGTACCCTCTGGGGCACTTCCGACATACAGATGTGCAAAACCTAGAAACTGTAAGAATTTCTTTAAGAGTAGCACCCAGCCTCTTAGGGTGCAGGTAACTGTTAGTGCCGCCCCCAGTGTTATTCAGATCCCTTCCCAGGCCTCCTCATCCTGCTGTCCCTTTACCACGCTTTATCTCCTTATCGTACTTTCTGCCCCCTGAAACCACAGAGTCAGGGCATGTACTAATTTACTATCCGCCTTCCCCCAAGAGCAGGAAAGAGCCCCGGTCAGTGCTGGTCTTACAGCACCAGGGCCTCACAGTGCCTGAGAGGTTCCCCACCCAACTCCAGTGAGGTGTAGATATTTCCTTTTGGGTTTTAGAGGATCTATGCCACGTGTCTCATCCTTCGGCACCAGTAATTAAGAGCTGACTCTCGGGGTTAAGAAGACATGACGTCATGTGCAAATATCTTCCCCACCATGGATGAGTGACTGAGAACAGCATGAGGGAAGAGACCGGAGAAACTTTCTCCAGAACCAGAGCCATGCACACTCAGCCTTTCAGAGTCCTCAGAACTGATCATCGTCCCTAAAAATCATTGTAATGTATGTTTCCTACTATGCAACATATTTTAGAAATAGTGGTTAGCAAGAGTTGCATTTTAATTTACTCCTAAGAGTAGGTAATCTCAACCACTTTTTTTTTTCTGTAACGGCCGTGGATTAATAACATTTCAAGCATGCCTTAGAAGCATCCTTAGAGTTCTGAGTCTTCATCCTTCCAGACTGGGCACTTTATTTATTAGTGCACCCAATGAAAACACCACTGTAGACACTTGGTAGAAAACACTGCCACAAGATGGCACTTGACTGGCCTTTGCGTAATACAGACCAAGATTGGTTCACTGACTCGTGGCAAAGAATGCTTCCTGTCGTTCAGAGCACCCCGACTGCCAGCTCAACCAAACATTTCCTCTTTGAGGGGAAATATCCTGCCAACGTGAGCGTGAGTTGACTTACCGCTGGCATCAGTTGAGGTGCAGCTGACCCCTAATGAGAGGAATGGATGACAGGAAGAGGGGTGTCCTGTGAGAGCCACCGCTGTGTGAGCAGACTGCTGGGACGGTGTGTTAGCTTCCGTTACCTTAACCGATACCTGAGATAAGGTTTATTTTGGTTCGTGGCCAACTTCTAGACCTGTGATGAGGCAGCATAGTATGGAGGAACATGTGGAAGAGCAGAACCACTCATGACCAGGAAGTGAAAGAGAAGAAGAGGCTGAGGTCCCACGGTCCCCTTCAGGACCACACCCCCAAACACCTAAAGACTCCCACTGGGCCCCGCCTCTTAAAGGTCCCCCCACCTCCCAGTAGCACCGTGTGAGGGACCAAGCCTCCAAATCATCAGCCTCAGGGAGACTTAAGCCCCCATCTATTGCAGGTGGTTACAAAGGATGCATCAATCATGTTACAGCCATATCACAGAAAAGCATTAAAATATCAAAATTCATGTTTCAGAAGAATATTCGACAAGTGAAAAATAATGAATGATAAAAATGAGCATAAGACAACAGAAAATAACACTCTTATTTAGGACAAAATACAGACCTGAAAAATGCTATAAAAGGAAGCAGGTACACATTAAAGCAACAGCACTTATCTTTGGATAACAGTACTTTCACCGGCTTTTGTGCGTTAGCCTTGTAGTTCTCAGATGTCCTCCGGCAGGCGCGCACTGTTGTGTGCCCTTGAAAGCCCATCCCGGCGTCTGACCGGCTGTGTTTGACCTCGCAGGTCCAGGTCCTGCAGGGGAAGGAGCCACCCTGCTTCCTCCAGTGTTTCCAGGGCGGGATGGTGGTGCACTCTGGACGCCGAGAGGAGGAAGAGGAGAATGCGCAGAGTGAGTCACCTTTACGGTCGGAATCCATAGGGTTTTTCCTCCTCCCGGCAGGTGTTTCTCTGGGTGAGCAGGTATAAAGTGAGTCTGTTCTCATCTAACCGTGGCCTTGCCAGTGGAAACCTCCTGATAAATCAGCCCTTCACCCCCCCACACACACACACTGTGGAATTTCCCTCGGGACCCACCTTTGCATGGAAGAGGCTGGAAGATCACTCGGCCTTGAACTAAGTTCTCTGTCCGTGCTTTTCAGGACGGTAAAATCACCAGTGGCTCCTCTGTTATAAATTACAGTCTTTTGTTGGCCAACATCCTCCCACCAAAAAGGCAAATCTGAGCTGTAGACCTCTATGACTTACTGTGTAAATTGTGCAGAGAAGGTTTTTCTGCACCACGACCTCTGGGAACCGGCTTCTGACTAACTCCAAGATGATTTGCTTCCCGGAAAGCCTAGGCGCAGTCCTTGCCCGGCTGAATTCAGGCCGCTTCCCCGGAGCCCCTGCCGTGTGGCTGCTGCCTGCCTGCACAGGGAGGACGGGCTTCCGGTCCCGCTCAGGTCCTAACTGTGCTGCCGGCGCCCCCTGCAGGTGAGTGGAGGCTGTACTGTGTGCGAGGAGAAGTGCCGGTGGAAGGGAACTTGCTGGAGGTGGCCTGTCACTGCAGCAGCCTGAGGTCCAGGACCTCCATGGTGGTCCTCAACGTGAACAAGGCCCTGATTTACTTGTGGCATGGATGCAAAGCTCAGGCCCACACCAAGGAAGTGGGCAGGACCGCAGCCAACAAAATCAAGGAACAGTGAGTATCCAGGGCCTGTGAAGAGCCGACCTCAGAAGGGGCTTCCCGGAGGTGTGAGCGCAGGCCAGGAGGGAGGGGACCCTTGGACACCTCTTGTGCCCACGGTGACTCGACAAGGGTCAGTTGGCATTCCAGGTGGATGGGACATATGGTCAGCCGGGACCTTTGACGTGAGCGCGTCCTCAGCTCTCCGAGGATTCCCCTTCCTCGGCAGCATTGGGCAGGCAGGGGGCGCACGCTCCTAGTCCCAGCTGCACAGGAGGCTGGGGGAGTGTGCTTGAGGCCAGGCTGCAACAGCGCAAAACCCCACCTCCAAAAACAAGAAGACACAGGTGCTGCTGAGAGCACAGGAAATGACCCCAACAGACACGGGAGCTTCGTCCTCGTAGGTACAACTCAGCTTTTAAATTATAAGCCTGGAATCCTCTGATATTTAAAGAGCAAATTCTAAATTTCTTTCAGGGATTCTAAGACTTAGTTTCGTCAGAACAGAAGAGTGGGAAAAGCTAAAGAAGCACTTGGCAGGGCTGTGAGATGTCCCATTAGAAAACAGCACTGTGCCCCTTCTCAGGCCAAGGTCCTGGCAGGGATTCCTCGGGCACAGCACCTGGTGTGGGTCTTCTCCTTCTCCCAGGAGGCCTCTTCTGGGGCAGAGTACTGAGCAAGGACCTGGGGAGAGGGTGCCCTGCAGCCTGGAGACAGAGAACCGAGGAGGCTCTGTCACCCCTACTCCCGCCCCATCACCGGGCCAGGAGGGTGGCCCTGTGGCGCTGTTCTCCTAGCACCATGCAGAGGGGCATCGCAGGCAGCCAGGGGAGCCCTTGGGAGGACCTCGGTAACGTCCTGTGCGGCCACCACACACCACCAAAGCACGGCGTGGCATAGCCCGCTCTCCTGGCACAACGCTGTGCAACAGGGCCTGCTTTCCTTGTGACCGCTGGAGAACGTAGCTCTGCATGGCAAGGGCAGAGGGAGGAAGGGACGCATGTGAGCTTCTGGCCCGCAGACCAGGGAAGCAGTCGCGAACATCGCTCTGTGGGCTGTGGAGCAGGAAGGGAGGGAAATGGTGCTCAGCAAGCTGTCCATGGGCATGCGGAGCCCGTCACTGCTTTTACCTGGACCGCTAAGAGGAAAGCAAAGCAGGGAAGAGCTCATTCACTCGCTCACTGACGCATTCAGCAAATACGTATGGAGCTCTTCTTTGGTGCAAAGCACAGATTAGGGGCCTGGGACTTGGCCGTGAGTAAACCCACGTCTCTCTCCTCATGACATTTATGTTCTGGCAGGAAAGGACAAGAGATAGCAAAAGTGTTGTTATATGTTAAAACAGGGATCATTTTCATTGCCTATCATATGTAATCATATAATCCTCTCCAGGGGCAAGCCAGCCCTTCTCTTCCAACACAAACACACTCATAAACTGGAGAATCTGTTTTCCCTCTTAGTAAGAACTGCTTTTAGTTAGAAAACAGAACTGAGGGAGCTGGCCCATTGATTTAGTCCTCAGCAGTTCTGTGCTGCTGGCTCTTTCTGGGCGTGCGAGAACCCACTGGAGTTTGTCCCGTGCAGGTGCCCCTTGGAAGCTGGACTGCACAGTAGCAGCAACGTGACAATACACGAATGTGATGAAGGATCTGAGCCCCTGGGGTTCTGGGACGCGTTAGGAAGAAGAGACAGGAAAGCCTACGACTGCATGCTTCAAGGTAACGCCCCACCCATAACCTTCAGTTGTCTTTTACTTCACTCTTTAACTTATTCGGGAAGTATGTATCGAACACGCACTGCACACTACACACAACCTAGGGCGTGTCCTCCCAAGCCTACTGCCCAGTGGAGAGGCTAGGTCTGTGCCGTGTGCGAGCAACTAGAATCCGACATACAGGCTGCTAAGGGTCATAGAAGAGGTGCAGGGGAAGAAGTTAAGCAGAAGATTCCCACACAGCTTTATGGGAAGGCGGCAAGGCACGGCCCCTGGAGGTTGGTGCGACGCGGAGAAAAGAAAACGCCATGAGACTCCACGAGCAGCAACACTGTGGAACCTGAGGAGCAGGACTCTGTTCGGGGGCCCTGGAGCCAGGCTCTGGGAAGTAGTGAGAAGGCCGGTGAGAGCGGGGTCCAGCAGACATGGCAGGATCCTGGTGGGGGGCTGGAAACCCCGAGCCATTCGCAGAAGTCACTGCTGGAAGCGGAGGCTTGGAGGGCAGGGACCGATGCTCCGTGCACACCTAGTAGATGTTTAAGGAACCTGTGAACACAGGGAAAGGACCAGCAGCCTGTGAACTTGGAGCCTGAAACTCAGATAGGTTGGGGAGGCGATCGCTAAGTGATGTGGCGTGAGTCGGCCACGGGGGCAGGCAGGAGGAGGGAGCAGCCATGGAGCCCCTGGGCTCTTGTCCTTTCAGGGACTCACAGATCTCCGTGTCAGAGCAAGGGACACAGCCCTCAGAAAAGGGCACAGTAGAGTATCTGTCTGATGTCGGGTGCTATTCAGAGATTGCACATTCGTGGCCGTTAGCTAGAACTCACCATTTAAAGGGCAGTGATGGAACGCATGAAAAGTGGGTGAGCAAGGTCATGAATATCAAGAGGGGACAGGCACCACCGTTGGTGGCCGTAGGACAACAAAGAAACATCCTTGGGTTTGAGGGTGAGCTGCTCATCACCAACCAGGGCTGCAGTCCTGCAGGAGATAAGAGTGGCTGGGGAGGAGGTACCGGAAGCCAGTGAGATATCGGAGAAACGTCTACTCGACAGTCTTCTACAGCGAAGGAGGTGCTTCCGGGTTTATTACACCATAGAAAGAAGGAAAGCACAGCACAGGCTACGTATCGCCTGTCTGAAATGCTTGGAACCAGAAATGTTTCCCATTTCAGATTTTTTTCAGACTTTGGAGTATTTGCACACACATAATGCGATGCTTTGGGGATGGCACTCCCGTCTAAATACAAAATTGATTTATGTCTCATACCTTGATACACACAGCCTGAGGTGATTTACATAATATTTTAGTGCCCCTGTGTTTTGACTGTGACATGCGGTCAGCTGTGAAATTTTCTACTTGTGGTATCATTTCTCTATGTAGAGAGCTTGGGGTTTTCGACCACTTGACTGCTCGATCTGTAGTAGGAGTATTCGAGTCCAGAGGAACACTTTTAGGGACTAGATGATTTGATGTGTTGCCCGTCCTTGGTGCCAGTTTCGGGTGGAGCCGAATTCAGCTGAGAAAAGGACGGAAGTACAGACATGGCTGGTTAAAGGAAGTCCACGCGGAGTGGGGGTGAAGCGCACAAGGGAGGTGCAGCTTGCGAAGGGGATGACATCTTTGTTGGCTGTTGATTGTCTTCTACATACCCCACATGAACGGGGCCTGTGAAGAGTCCTGCTGGCACCAAAAATGACAAATGTAGATGGCCCCCGCGGCATGGGCCGCCCAACCACACCCCATGTGTCATTTTCTGATGTTTGTTGATCTGGGCTTTTCTTACCCTAAAGACATTAAATCCTACGTAATTTTCCTTGGTCCTTCATCTTAACTGTACCCTATCGCTGGGATTTAGCTTGACGAGCGTGGCACCCAGCTGATAGACCAGCTTTCTCTCCCTAGAGCAGAGCAGGGCGCCGACGCACGGGCTCCCACTGGGATTCAGTTCGCAGAGTCCTGGCAGTCTCAGGGACCAGCTGTAGCCTAGGGGCCCCCTCCGGGAAAGTGGAGTGTTCTGGGAGGTGGTGTGGAAGTCTGGGAGGAAGCAGACCCTTCTTACCCCCGTATCCCTTCAAAGTCACTGGTCCTGTTTGGAAAGATGGTGACTGCCGCTACACAGCGTAGCTGTCTGCATTTACCAGCGTGCGCCAGTATGCAAGTGTGTACTTTCCTACGTTTTCCTAAATGCACGTTATTAACATAAGGAAAGCAAATGTTTATTAAGCAGCTCTGACATCCCAGGGTCCATTTTTACCCTATATATGTTTTCCACTAACTCACCCCGCCCAACCCTCTCCCATTTTCACAAATAAGGAAGTGGGCAGAGAGAAGCTAATCACCCAGGCAGGGCTGCACAGCAGGGGTGTGTCTACACAGCGACTCTGTGCGCCTCTGCCCCTCTAGTTCCATAAACCTTGACATGACCTTCCACACATGATGCCTGCCAGGGGTAGTTGTTGAACTTAGGCAGATGAAGGAATAGTCATGTGCAATGTCTCTCAGACATAACTCAGATCCTCATTTTTCTGTGCCATTTTCAATATGCATTTTAAAAAACAAAATTTGGATCCACCGTTGTATCATCCCCCTTCTCCCTTTATTATGACTCAGTTCCTAAGTTGTTGCTCTTTCAGACTTAGCAGCTACAGAGAATTCCATGAACGGATCCCACGCTCTACTCAGGAGTTTTCTGTAGCTGGGGAGATGTTTCCCCCTTTTCTCTATTAAATAAGTCTGTGTGTTCATTCGTACTTAGGGTGAATCCCTAGCTACGGCTCTTGTCTTTTAAGAGGCTAAGTCATTCAGTATTTACCACCATGTCCGCCAGAACCTTAGCGCCACGTTTCACCCGTACCAGCAATGGACAAGTGTGCATTTCCCGGCACAATCATAAACTCAGCACATTAAGTTTTTCCTCTTTGCCAGATACCCTGGGCCGGATAGCTCGGTGCATTCGTCAGCTTTCTGTTGTTGTGACAAAGTACCTGACAAGTCCACTGAAAGCAGAAAAGGGTCACTTTGGCTTATGGTTCCGCAAAGTTCAGTCTATCTATCATTAGCTGGCTCCATGGTCTCCAGGCTTGTGCCAAGGCAGAAATACCACGGCGGACGGACATGGCTGAGAAAAGCCATTCGTGTCACGACAGCCACCCTAGAGAGGGCACCCAGAGAGCCTGTACTGTGGCTCCTCCCTCCTCCCTTTTGTTCCACCTATTGGGTGGTCCCGCGTGGGTCTCCCCCTCAGTGTGCTGTCTGCATGCCAGTCATCTCTGCAGACGCCCTCAGAGACTCACCCAGAGCTGTGCTTCACTAATCTCCTAAGTGTTTCCCAGTTCAGTCAGGTTGACAACCAAGGTTAGCACCACACTAATCACTGCTTTAATTTAATTGGTTAATCAGAAGACTGAATCACTTCCCATATGTCTGTCTGTGTGTGTGTGTATGTGTGTATACTGGTGTAGTGCAGTTTCTGTTTGCCATACACATACACACACGCAGACACAAACATATGCATTCACAAGATACATTTTTAGCTATTTGTTTTTCTACACTGGTGAATGTTTAATGTGTGCCTACTTTGGTGGATGTTTCATTTGTACACATTTTATTGAACTACTTGTCTTTCCTGATTTATGTACCTTCATGTATAAGGAACTGATTGCTGCATTACAAATGTTATTAAAACTTTTGTACTGTAATTTTTTTATTTTTATGTAATCAGTGCATAAGTCTTTCCCTTTCGATTGCTTCTTTTACTGTTGCAACTGAAAATGTCTCCCTCGGGCTGGGCCTGCAGCTCCCGGTGCAGTGCTTACCCACCCTGCGAGAGGCCCTGGGCTCCGTCCCCAGCACCGCGCACTCACGCACGCACGCACGCACGCACGCACGCTTCCCCATCTCCAAGCCCCGATAAACCCTCCACCCAGTCTGCTCCTGCCGATTCTTTGAACTGTTTCGTGCTTTGTCTTCAGCCGTCCGGAGCTGAGAGCGTGTGGGCTTCAGCTCCACTCTCTTTTCTTTCAAAGATCCTGGAAGTTTTAACTTCGCCCCGCGCCTGTTCATCCTCAGCAGTTCATCCGGGGACTTCTCAGCCACCGAGTTCGTGTACCCTGCCCGGGCGCCCTCCGTGGTCAGCTCGATGCCGTTCTTACAGGAGGACCTGTACAGCGCCCCGCAGCCAGGTACGGCCCGCAGGGGGCGCACCCTCCGGTTAGCGGTGACTGTCGTGTGCACTGCGGAGACCCCCGCCGGTGCTGTCTCACTTAACACTCGCACCTACCCTAGAAGGAAAGGGAGTGAAATCAAGTGCACGTGATAGCGTAGAGCATGTACTCCCACAGCAGTTTCTCCTTGACAGTCACCTCGAGGTTTACCCGTGGCAAGGCCTGTGGCCCAAAGACCTCAGAGATACACGGAGCACAACAGGATCTGTGGCGACTCTGCACCTCTCCCAGCCTTCTCTCAGACTTGTTGCTTCGTGGTCCCCAGGGGACTGTCCTTGCTCCAGCCATCATGTTTGCATTCCAAGAGAAAAACAGGGAGTCGGGGAAAGGGCAGTATAAACTGTTTCTTTCTTTCACAAAATAAAGCAAAATGCTTTCCCAGATGCCCCCAGCAGACTTCTGCTCACATCTCATTGGCCAGAGAGTGTCACATGGCCACCCCAGCTGCAAGGGAGCCTGGGAAAGCAAGTGGTAAGGAGAAGTGGGCAAGGCACCTGGTGAGCTAGCCGCTGAGCAGTGTGTGTGGCTCACCGCAGTTTGGGTCTTCTGATTCCGAGGTCAGGGCTGTGTCCACCACCGCCTCCAGCCAGCAGCCTCTGGGCCCCCCTCTGGCGGGGAGAGTTGCAGGGGCCCACCCTCCTGCCGTCAAGTCCGAGGGCAGCCAGCCCTGAGCTCGTGATACAAGAGCCTGCAGCCAGGTGCCTGTCCTCGCTGTGGTGGCCCGGGTCGCAGCCAGGCAGCCTTGACCTGGACCGGTGCACTTGCCGCGCTGCCGGAGACATCAGCAACTGTCTCAAAGGAGCATCTGCTCCCTGACCTCTTCTGCGGGAGCTCAGGGTGGATGTGCGCTTTTACAGGGTGTGGCTTCCCCAGAACCCTGAAGGGCAGGTGGGGAAAGGCGGGGTGAGCTGAGCCGCCAGCTGGAGGCTCCTGGCCAGGTGGAGTAAGAGTCACACTGAGGGCACGCAGACCAGAAAGTGAAGAGGGAGGAGCAAGACCGTTTTGCCTTTTAAAGCCCATTTCTCCTGGAGAGAGCCGGGGACCCACATCGTTGCTAAGCAGTCAGATGGGCGGGAACACCAAAGGCCCGAGGGCGGGCCCCAGGTTGTATTATGCTCTTCAGGCCAGCGCTGGCGGTGGCCACTCCATGACCTGCCACCGCCCCAGCCCTCTCCGGATGGGCCACAGGCAGCCCAGGGCTGAGCTGGGGTGACCGGTGAGGACCGAGAGGCAAAGGAAAGAAAGAGCCACACTGTTGCTGCCTCCTGTCTACCGAGGGGCTTCTCCAAGCTGACCTTTCCAGGGGCTGAGATTGCGGGGGCGGGGGCGGGGGCTCCACTTGCCCCTTTGCCCCTGAACCTGGGGGAGATGTTACCCTCTGACACAGCAGCGGGAGAGGGAGGCGCCGCTTATGCTGGGGCCACGGTGAGCTGGCAGCGTCCGTGCAGGAGCTCCTGACGCGCTGTCCTCACTCCCCACAGCGCTCTTTCTCGTGGACAATCACCACGAGGTGTACCTGTGGCAAGGCTGGTGGCCCATTGAGAACAAGATCACCGGCTCCGCCCGCATCCGCTGGGCCTCGGACCGGAAGAGTGCCATGGAGACCGTGCTCCAGTACTGCAGAGGTGAGGGCCAGGCGGGGGGCGGCGGGGGCTGCCGGAGCCCCGCCTCCTGCTGCACACCCCTCCCTCCGTAAGCCGCCATGGAGCCAGCTGCCCCCCTGTGACATCTTGAGGCTCACTATCCCTGCAGTCAGCACATTCTTGGCTGCCACCGTCAAGGAGGACAGGGCTTTCTCTTTCATGTCATGAGGCCGTCTCAGGCGCTGCCCTTGAGGTATGCCGTGGGGCACCCGCGTCGCCAACCCTCCTGTTCCTGGGAATATTCGTGGTGAGAGGCCGGTGGACCACCACCACGCTCAGTATCCGCAGGGTGCGCCTCGCCACCGGAAAACAGAAATCTCCGAACTGGCTGAAACGCTAGTGCCAACTCTGTCACCATGTAGCACTATTTTAGAATAATACCATATTCATAGTACTGTATTCATAAAGAGAAGCCCACAGTAAATTTGTGGGTTTTTTACTATCCCATTTACCCAGAACACATGGTCTTTTCTAGGAAGGAAGAGGACGGTGATTAACGTTCACGATTTTATTGATGAGCTTAGTATCTCTGAGTGTGTACGGCTCATTCTCTTGAAAAATTCTCTCATAATAAATATCTTTTTAAACTTTCCGCCAAATGTTAAAGCTACAGCATTAAAGTAAATGCTGCCCTTGGCTGTGTGATGCCACTGAAGTCCCTTGTGCATGAAGCCATCAGAGGAAAACCCCTGCGGGGGAAGGAGGAAGATATAAGAAGACCCGGCCCAAAGCCCCAGGGAGAGACCTGGGCCTTTCCGGGAACCAGAAGGCATCTTGTGGGGCTCAGGAAGTAGACTTACCTGACCCCGTGCCCCTGTGCTGGGCGTAGGGGCGAAGTGAGCGTTTTAGATAAACGTCACACACGTTATGGACCACTCAGAGCCCACATGTTAAGCAGGAAGTCAAAAGTTCCGAACGAAGAAGCAAAGGTTCCGAGGGCAATGAGGGAAAGCCAGGGTCGCTGGGTCATGTGACACTTGCATTCTGCTTTACCTCAGGGAAGAACCTCAAGAAGCCCCCGCCCAAGTCTTACCTTATCCATGCCGGTCTGGAGCCCCTGACCTTCACCAACATGTTTCCCAGCTGGGAGCACAGAGAGGACGTCGCTGAGATCACAGAAATGGTGAGCACACGGCCTGCCCTGGGACCCCCTGCCTGCTGGGCACGGGCAGACCAGCTGGGGGAGAAGCGTCCGGCTGCATTGCACAGTGGGGTGGGTTGGCCTTTTCTTTTGCATCAGGTCTATAGCATTACCCTAGAACAAAAGGAGGCCTAATGGGAAGTCAGCTGAACAGTCTGGGCTATTTTCTATATGTAGCACTCAGAGTTTAAATTCTCACGTTGGAGAATTTACTTACTCTAAAGACTGTAAATAAAAGCCTCTGTCTCTTCATCTGTTAGCTCAACAGAACTGCTTCCCGCATCACACCCCTCTAAGTCCCCATGTTTCGGGTGGTAACCGTGCAGGAAGACACACACAATAACCCTGTGATGAGTGAATGTATTGAATTAACTGAGCGCACGTAGCATGACTCACTTGTGAGAAGTCATTGCATACGTCTCGGTTCGTCTCTCACGTGACCACCTGGTAGTACCTGAGGCAGTCGTGACTTCTACCCACCAAAGGGTGTTCGTGTCCAGAAACGCTTTACTTCCCAACCACGTAGACAAGAAGCCTGTCGTGGAGCTCTGTGGAACTGTGTGAGTTACCTCACCGGTACTGGCAATGCCCAGGGTTCCTTTGGTTTGGTGGGAGATGTGTGCTCTCCCTTTGATTTTGTGACTGTGTTAGAGAAAGATGCTCTTCCGGAGAAATGGCTTAGGTATATTTTAGAGGAAATCTAAGTTATTTTAAACAAGCAAAGTCTGCTGCTATGTAGCCATAGAGTGAGCTTCTGTCATGGTACCCGCGTTGCCGCTTAACTGAACCTGTTTCCCTGGGGCGGGGGACTGGGAAACAAACCCAGGGCCTGGCACGTGCTGGGCAAGCGCCTTGCCACTGAGCTACACCCAGCCTTTCCAACCCGTCTTACTCTGAGCAAGTGGGTTTGATCTACTCCAGGAAGGTGCTGGCTACTCCCTCTGACATGGTCAAAGCGAGACAGTTCTGTTCACGTTAAATATGGGATCACAAAGCCCTAAAGCTCCGGGGATTACAGGCAGTGTGCCGCCTGCAGTCTGAGCTCAAGCACATAAACCACAATCCCATTTCCGTGTTCACTGTGGGCCGTGGGGGTGAGCAGCGCGCTGTGCAGGGCCGTGCAGGCCTGTGGGGTTCCAGCCTGTGGAAAATTGGGGTTCCTACACCAGCAAGTTGCACTACTAATTAAGAGTCACCAAGTGCATGCTCTGTGCTGGGCACTGCTGCATTGTTCCATTTATGTTCCCATTTCATCTAAGGGCAGTCCTCTGAGGTTCATCTTAGTATCACCCCCGTCTTCCTAGTGTAAGAGCCAAGCTACTTCAGTCACCTGCCCTGCGTCTCAGAGTCAGCGAGTGCAGGAGCTGTGTGCAGGCCCAGGCCTGCATTCCCAAACCCTCCTCTTGACCCGGGTCTGTCCTGTATTTTGGGGACAGCTCCTGGTTATGTGTTGTCTCATCCACCCACCTTAGAGGAGGACAGCTCATCTGGGACCCCAGTGTAATGGAGGAAGAGAACTTCCCAGAATAGCCTGTTCAGGTTAAATGCACACAGTGGTTTAAATGGAAGCAAGAAAAGGCTTGATTTATCCCCAGAATATTCTAGGTGCATGTTGTGTTTCTGGTGCTGGATCAAACACAGGGCCCCAGGCCTACTAAGGGTAGGAGCCACACTGAGCCACACTCCCATCCTTGCTTTCCTATTACGGATGAATAGATGGGGCCAGGTGCAGAGGTAGTGGAGTGGGTTCTCTTAAGGTTACTTTGAAATATTCGTAAACCCATTCTATTATTTGGAGGCATCTGGTGTTTAGACTTCAAAGCCAATCGTCTTCTCCCATAATGTACTCACAAGAGAGTCCTGAGACAGGACTTACTAGAAACTTCATGGTAGGGTGAGAAAATGTCTAAAAGTCAAGAGACCCATAAGCCTTTAACCAGTTCCCTTGCTTCAGAGCCCTGTCCCTCCCCAGTGAAGGGAAGCCCCAGAGCAGGTATGGTACAGAGGGCACAGGGCTATGTACTTGCAAGCTGTGTTAGTCAGCTTTCTGTCACTGTGACAAAATACCTAAGAGAAGCAACTTAAGGCAGAAAGGTTTGCTTTAGCTCATGGTGTTCGAGGTTTTAGTCCATGGTTGGCTGGCTCCCTTGCCCTGGGCTTGTGGCAAGGTGAGGCGAATGTAGTAGAACAGAGCTGCTCGCCCCTTGGTGGCCCCAAAGCAGAGAGAGAAGCAAACCCTCAGGGAGGAAGGGCCTGGGGATGGAACACACCCTTCAAGGCCACATTCTCAGTGACCTGCCATCGTCCATTTAGGCCCCACCTCCTAACGAGCCCACTGCACTGTGATCTCGTCAGGGTTAATCCAGGGATGAAGTTAGAGCCCTCATACTCCAGCTGCTTCCACAGAGCCCACCAGCTGGCAACCGCCTTCAGCACCATGAGCCTTTTGCGGGACAGTTTAGATAACAACCATAAGTCCAGCCCTTGATGAACGTGTTCCAGTGCGGACCACACCAAGTCCTTCTCTGTGCTCCCCCCCAGGACACGGAGGCGTCCAATCAGATCACCCTGGTGGAAGACGTCTTAGCCAAGCTTTGTAAGACCGTCTACCCGCTGGCCGATCTGCTCGCAAGGCCGCTACCAGAAGGCGTGGATCCTCTAAAGCTTGAGATTTATCTCACTGATGAAGACTTCGAGGTAAGCAGCGTTCCCGGGGCTGGGAGGTCGAGGCAGCCGCACCCGTGGCCGAGCGTGCCCTCACTGGGCCGCCCGGTGTCCCCTGTGCTTCCGCAGTTTGCACTAGACATGACTCGGGACGAGTACAGCACGCTGCCTGCCTGGAAGCAGGTGAACCTCAAGAAAGCAAAAGGCCTCTTCTGAGCCGGACAGACGCCGCGGCCCGCTGCAGGCGCTGCAGTACCAGCACCACTGCACCAGAAATCATGACCTCCCGGACTCTGTTTCTGTTTTAAAGTATTCTTACATCGAGTGTTTTCCAAACCTGACCTTGTGAACGACACTACTTGTCCCGGAGTTGTGTATTTTGTAAATGTTTAAGAGAACTCTCCGGAAACTTGCTTTCCACAGTTCTGCTGGTGATGTCAATAAAGGTCTCTGTCATGTACTCTTCAGCAGTGATTCCTCAGCAGCCACCAGAGCCTGCCCTTTCGTTCCAGCTAGGCATTGCCTTTGTATTTTTCCTTTTTTGAAGCAGTTCTCTTTATAAAGTGTTATTTTGATAGTTTGTAGATTCTAAAATATATATATTTATATAAACACCATATAAATCAAATATGTATCTAACAAAGCAATATGTATTCATCCACTTTTAAATTTTTTCTGTTTTGATGTCAAAAGGTTGTCACAAGGTCGTGGGCATGGCTTCTGTTGGATCAGGTCTGCCCCCACCTGTAGCTTTATACACGTTCAGAAGCTTCCTTCTGACTTAGGCCTGACTTGTTCTGAGTGCTGCTTCCGGTGCTAAAATGAACAAAGAACTTGTACTCACTGGTGTGGACTCTGAAGACTCTATGCGAATCAACCTTTCTACCTTAATCTCTCCCAAAAAATGTATAGTGCCTTGTTTTTATGTACAGTTTATATACGGAAACGTTTGCTCTGCGTTTTTGATGCTGGCGTAGAACATTGCCTACAGTTTTACTCTCAAATAATAGGAATAAAAACATCTCAATTTGTAAAACCAGTTGTAAACATTACACGTCATTTTGTGACCTAGGACTCCAAAATAAAAACTTCAGAATAATCACCACAATGAATCGGTTGGTTCACACTGAATTCTAAGCATGTTGCTTTGTGGAAAAAATGCATTTGTACTTTCAACATAGCACCAATATTTCATCATTAAATATTAACTGCTAGAACTCTAGGGCTAGATTTTGTGTAGGGTCATAAGATAAAATAGGCAGATATTTGACCCATAAAGTAATTCTAAATTCTGCAGTGGAGATATTCTGCAGACCATCATTTATCAGAAGCTCAACTCTACAACTATATCTACATTTCGGGATCTCAGTGTCTTTAACACCTGGCTATAGAAGGCAAAACTCAAAATGGTTAGCAAATGCCTCACATATACATACACTGGCCTTAAACGTAATAAGTTGCTCGCAGGCCCTATCCCTCCAAGGCCTGCACCGGGAGAGGGGCCTGTGGGCTGCGCCTGGCCCCACAATATTCTGATTCTGTGAAGCTGGGAAGTTGCTGAACTTCCCTGCCTTGATGTCCTTATGAAAGGAGATCTTGCCTTCATTATTGGACCTTTGGCAAGGATCGAGTGGGAGCTCTTTGAAAAATCATCAAGTGCTAGATACTTGCTGGTGTTCATATCAACAGGACGGTAGCAGAAATAGGAAAACATGTGAATGAAAGTTCAGGGTTGTTTTCATAGGCCTGGAGATCATAGATCAAACAAAATCAAGCAGACGGGGAGGGAGAGAGTCTATGGACCTCAGGTAGTAGCCAAAGAGGAGCAGAAAGAGGGTTCGAGAGAGAACAGATCAACCTGTAAGCATCCTAATAGAGACAGGGCTTCAGACACCTGTGACAGGTTCAGAAAGTACCTGGATTCTTGTGTACATAGGAAGTATATGAGAACCAACAGAAGATGGGAGATTGACCCATAGGTGGGTGGGTGGGTGGTGAGAGAGGGAGAGAGAGGGACTGACTAGAAGAGTCAGTTCATTGACTGTGGGCCTGAGAGGTCGCACAACAGGCCAGGTGAAGCTGGAGACCCTGGGAAGCTGGTGCCTGGCTGTCCAGGACCATGGGCTTCAGAACCAGGGAAGCCAACGGTGTGACTCTCAGTCCAAGGCCAGGGGCCACTGGGGTAAGACCTACCACTGGGGTATGTCCACAGCAGTCTAAGAGGAACACATCCCTGCTCCGAGAGACCAGTTCACCTTTCCTTGTCTTTGTGTAACGGGGCCCCAGAGACTAGGCGGTGCTGGTCCACACAGAGGACCATCTTCCCAACTCAGTCCTCACAGCCTCTCGTGCCAACATCCTCCTAAAGCAGCTTCAAGAGAAGCCCCACATATCCCTGTCCCAGTTCCCTCGTGCTCCTGAGTCCGCTCAAGTCGCTGCCTAAATTTAACCATCACAGAAGGAAAGGAGACCCTCCTGGGGAGAGTCTGCTGGAATGAGCACTAAGACAGGCACCATCAGTGCTCATTACGGCCGCGCTATCCCGCGGTGCTTCAGAGGTGTGCATCTCCACCTGACCTCCAGTGAGGAGCTGTCAGTCGCCTCCTGGCTCTGTGAAGGAGACACCCAGCCTTGACGCCCCTCACAGCCTCCTCGGGCTGTGGGCGATGCGCTTGAAATCTGATGCCACGGCTCTGGAAGTCCCTATGTTGGAACTGACTAGTATTATCTGGAAATTGACATAAATGGCCTATTATTAAATCTCGCTGCGTTAGCAAGTCCAGCTTTACCGTCCAAACACCGTTCTGACCATGATCTTAAGAGAGCTGCCGTCGGATTTGTGAGGCAGCTCCATGAAGGGGAAGAAACTGAGCAACCCCTGGACAAGGAGCCTTGTGCTTGCGCTGATGTGGACAGAAAGAAATACAAAGTGGGACAAAGGTGAAGACAGACATAACTAGGACTTTTTCATGACTCGCTTCCGCATATGGAAAAAAGCAAGCAACTAGAGAATGCGCTTGGGAACTGCAGGACTTGGTTAGCGTCAAAGTCTGTCCTAGGAGGAGGCGGTGAACAGGCGCCTCCAGCTCTGTGTGCCCCCCCGCCTCCGTCCATGGTTCCGTCCTAACAGAGCCCGTCCCCTCTTAAACACTGAGTCACAAAGAGCGAGTGGAAAGAGCTGTTCGCCAGTGATGCACAGAGGTTCCGGTGGGGAGGCCTTTTTTCTGGTTGCTAGGTAACATCTCTCCACGGGTTCAAATCCAGCCCTTCCAGCAGCCACATCATCTGCTTGACTGTGTTCCTGGGACGGCACAGCCCCTTATTTGAAACGGTTTATATTCATCCACAATATGCATGTGTATTACTTACTTACTCAAGTATCCCTTAGGTGAGTGCTAACAGTCAGGCTCAGCAGAATCCGAAGATGAGGTCTGCCTAGGCCCTGACCTCCCCAGGAGCCTGCGTCCCGGGGGAAACAGGAGGAACGGCAGTCCAACAGGAAGTGCCAGTAATGATGCTGTCAGACTCTGTAATGGGTTGGATTGTGCCGCTCCCTTCCAAAAATTGACTTAACTGCTAGTTAACCGCATCTGGAGATCTTAGGTAACCACGTTAAAGGAGGGCAGGAGGGTGGGCCCAACCCAATGGCTGGTGGCCTCCCTGGAAAGGGAATCTGGACACAGGGAAGAGCACATGCTCGGGGAAGACCGGCTGGACGTACAGGGCAAGGCAGCCAGCTGCAAGGCAAGCAGAGGCCTCAGATCCCAACCCCGGCAGCCGCTTAAGTGGAACTTCTGACTGAGGAACTGTGCGGCTCACCGCCCAGTCTGCAGTCATCTGTACCGCAGCTCTCAGGCCTAGGACAACCTCGAGGGGAGGGGCTCCCAGTGGGGGGGGAGGAACAGGGTGGCCTCATGGGAGACATCGGGGAAGAGGCCCCGAAGGGCTGGCGGGATCCCTCGCGGCCAGGGAGGCTCCTTCAGGCATCGGCCCCACATGAAGACGGGGAAGGCGCCAAGGGCGAGGGGAGGCCGGGCCAGTCGCTAGGGTAGCACAGCTAGGACGAGGACGTGGCCCTGAGCACCGCAGGGCTGAGAAGGGGAACACGGAAGGGAGAAGGAATTGGAAGCGGCCAGGCCTCTTCAGATGCAAGAAAAACCTGGCAGTGCCCGGGCCTGGGCAGCATCTGCTCCACGCCACGATCAGTGGTTTCCAGGGCTACTGGTGCCTGTCCCCCGCTTATCTGATGCCCTGTGTTAGGCTTCCATCCTGTGCCTTCCCACTCAAATCATTAAGGACTCGGGTTTATTACAGCCTCTTCTAGTCCAGTGTCTGTAAAGATGTCTTCAAACGCATAGCTCTGAAATCTCCAACAAACAACACACAATAGTATTTTTTCCGGGTGTCACGTGGCCAGCGGGGAGCGCAGCTAAACCTTGCTTTAGGCTTAGAAGCTACTCAAGAAGACAAGAAGCTATTCTGTTGCACTGAAAATAGTAGGCATTTCTGGACCTTGTATAGCTATTTTAATGATGAATTTAAATTTTTTTACTTTTAATTTTTTTCAGTGCTAGGAATGGGACCCAGTACTGATGTCTGCTAGGCAAACGCTGTCCTACTGCGCTCCATCCCCACCCCAATAAAATTAAATTTAGAAATAATGATGATTCTTCTTCAAAAAACCTTTGAATGACCCTATGAAAGTGATTGGGCATTATTTTAAAAAAAAAAACACAAAACACAAAGACATAGAAAGCCAAAGGGACTCGGCTAGGGGACAGACCTACACGTTGCAGGGCACCTTGGTTATCCCTGCTCCATCTGAATTTGATTATGATTGAATAATACAAACTCAAGCCCATTACCATCTCTTCCTCCTGTCAGGGAGGGACCTGGGGAAGGAACCAGCGCCGTACCAGCTGCCTCCTCTGACTTCATCAAATCCTGCAAGCACGCCTCCAATGTACGGATGTAGTTGTCCCCGACAGGCTCAGGTACTGGATGCTGGGTTCCCAGTGTGACATTGCTGAGGTAGTGGGACCTTTAAGAGGCGTGGCCTAGCAGGAAGTAATTAGTGGGAGGTTAGTGCTGCCTCCTGAGACTGGCACAAGTCGGCAGGAAGTGGGTTCCTGCCCGCCACAGAGCGGGTCGCTATGGGAAGAGCCAGCCGGCCCCTCTGCTCTCTTCCTTCCTCAGGGACACAGGGCCAGTTGTCTTTTTACTCTCTGACCAGGTTGTGGCACAGTAACAGGGTCCCAGGCAACCGCCAGCGCCGTGCTCTTTGGACTTTGCAACCTTCAAAATTGTGAGTCTAATAAATGTATCTTCCTAATGCACGGCACTGGCTATTCTATTATCGCAACACAGCACGGACTACGCATGACCGTATAAGGTGCTTTCACCCTGTCTACAAGGGAGGCTCTCGGGGTTCAGGTCACCCTCACGCTGGGGATGGGAGATGCTGAGTTTGAGTCGCCTCCATCTCCTCCTTGTCCCACTGTCTCCACACAGAGCGCAGACTGACGTGCATGAATGCGTATCTCCTGTCCCTCTCTGCTGTCACCTGTGCTGGAGGCGGCACCTCTGGAGGAGCCGCTGGCCCTCACACACACAGTAGCAGGGAGGACACATCTCCAGGGAAAGGGCTCTGAGGTCTCCAGTTTCCAAGCCCCGCTCTGCCCCTTAGCGCGGCACACCCCTGAGCAAGTTACCCGTCCTCCCCGGGCCTCCCTCACGTCTGCAGAGCGGACTGATCTGCTGCACCACGCGTGGCTGCAAGGTGAGAGCAGGGTGCAGAGGCCCAGGCTGGCGAACACTAGCGAGGACAGCCGTGGCCGTCTTTCCACTGAAGCAAGGCTGTGTGGCGGCCCATGCACGTGAGGAGGAACCCACACATGCCTTTGCAACCTCAGGCACCTGAGGCCTCCTGAGGGTCGGGGCTGGGGGCCAGCACTCCACGCGCACGGAGCAACAGCCTGGAGAGGAACCTGGCTGGTGGCCCGGCGTTATGCTTCAGCGCATCCTGAACACTGGCCTTCTTTTTGGGACTTAGTCCTGATACTTCTTGAAATATCTAAAGTTGACAGCTTCAGCTGCATCTTCAGCATGACTCCGTGTACATAAGGCAGAGGGCGAGGAGCCACTGGGGGGTCTGCCTTCCTAGGGGACCCTGTGCCCACTGCAGTGGCCTCAGGACTGTCAGGGACAGCAACCCTCCCTAAAAGCGGTGCAGCTGAGAACAAATGGACCTGCCGCCACCTCCATTCGGAGAGGGGAGAAAGACATGAGATCGTCCTGCCAGAGCCTGGGTCTTGAATGCTCCCCAAAGGGCCATGCTGAGCTTCGGTCCCCGGCCTGCGGCACTACTGAGAGGCCCTAGGACCTTTAGGAGCTGGGGCTCTAGCGCAGGAAGCGCGGAACTGGGGCCCCCTCCTTCCTTGTCAGGGGCACAGGCCCCTCCGCCATGTGCTGGGCCATGATGTCCTGTGTCACCAAAGCCACGGGCCGAAACCTCTGCAGCTGTGCACCAGTCAACCTTTCCTGCTTTGAAGCTGTTACCTCAGGTATTTTGTCCCAGGAACAGAAAGCTAATGAACGCAGTGACCCCAGCCGCCGCCCCTGCACAGGAGAGATGGCGGGGCGACCAAGTGCTTCACGGGAGTCTTCGCAGGCCAAGCTGTGCCACCCCGGGGTCGCCATGAGCCTCTCGCTCCGCCAGCCGCCTGGACACGCATGTTAGCTGAGGAAGGACTTGAGCGCCTGCTCGTCCGCCACGTTTCCTGCAGCACCCTGGACGCGCCCGATCTCGCCTGATCTCCGCGGCTAAGCAGAGTCGGGCCTGGTTAGTTCTCGGATGGGAGCCCGCCCGGGACAGAGGCTCCCCACTCCCTCCCGGGATCAAAATCCTTCACCTTCCGGTGGTACAGGCGACACCCCATTCCCAGTGGGGACTCAGGCAAGTCTTAAATCTCCTCATCACCCCCAGTTTAATCCAGAGGTGACAGGTCAGCGTGAGGTGCTTGCTGCTAATATGGAAATGGCCTTCTAGCGGATTTACAGTAGCTGTGAAATAACCTCCGGGCACAGCCCTCCCGCAGGCCCAGACTCCCAGCGTGACCTCGCCTGCCCGGGCAGCGGCGCTCCAGGCCAGGGCCGGCAGGCGGCGCTGTGGCTCAGCCGCGGAAGCGCAGGCACCGGCCGCGGCGCGCCCTGCCCGAGCCACGGTCTCCAAATAAGGTCCGGCTCTCGCTGCGGCCAGACCGCGCCGGCCCCAGGCGCCCCGCAGCGCCTCGTGCTCCCCTGCTTCCGGCACAGAGGAGCCGAACGGCACCGCGCGCTGCTTTGCCGCCTGCCCTGCATCTGTGCCCCCGAAGCTCCCGGGGTGTCCCCAGGAACAGCCCCGCGGGCCGCGCCGCAGACCGGCCGCCCTGCGCTCATCCGCGCGGCTAGAGGAACCCGCGCCGGGCCGCGCCGCGCCTCCCCGCTGCCGGGCCGGACTCCCCTCTGCACCGCGCGTTCAGTGCGCGGGAGGGCTTTCCTGAGCGCCTGCTCCCGGCCAGCTCGGCCATCTGTAAAAGGAAGGCGATACCTTTGTTCGGCTCGATTAGTTGATGTCAGGCGCGCTCTCTGCAGATGAAAAGCGCTAAATTCTATTTATCAAATATTCAATTAGCCGCCCTTGGGAATGATTCATAATCATCTATTCAACCTGCTGAATAACCAAGCAGGGGAAAGGGAATGATCGGAAACAGAATTTTAAATACAGGTTTGCATAGATTTTGTACCCGTCGAGACTGAGCCAGTTTCCCAGTTAGCATCCCAGTTTCCCCCGGTTGCCCAGAGGCAGGGGGAAACACGGGCTCCGGCAGCTGCGGCCCACCCCGTGTTCACACCTGGCCTGGGGAGGAGCCTGGCTGCAGGCAGCAGCATGAAGTCCGACCGCAGGGGGAACCCAAGCAGGACCTCACTTCCCGGCCGGGTACGCCTCTCAAGCCCGGGGCTCGCGTCAACTCTCCCAGCAAGTCCACTTCCGGTTCCGGTCTCTCACTTCCTGTTGCTCACGGAGACTTCCCTGTTCTGCTCTGGCCAGGATTCCAGACGTTAGGTCGTGAGGGAGACATGGGCACTTTCGCATGAAAGACACCCGTGACCTCAAAGTTTTAAGGTGATGAAGAGCTATTTCCAATTGCTCTGAAGCACAGTCAGCCAACATGGCCCGTCTACCCTCATATCAGGGCTCTGACCCCACCAGGCCCTCAGTACCGCCTAGTGCACACAAGCCTCTAGAAGCGGGGGTGTTCTGGTCCATCCATTCATTCTGTAAATGTTTATTGAGCCCCTGCCCTGGTATAAATGCTCTGGGGGATATGCAGGTTAGACAGGTATGGCCGATTGTCTTTGAACTGCTGGCCAACTGTAACTTTCAAGAAGTTAAAAAGCACCATACAGATAGATGGGGAGAACGTATGCTACTTTGGATCCTCGAGGAAGTAGGTGCCGAGACAAGGGTAGATGTGCAAGAGGTTAACTGGAGAGAAGGAAGACAGAAGGAGCAGGAGAGGCAGGAACAGGCTAGAGGATGAGGTAGGTCTGACTCTCGGGAGATGGGGAGAAGGATGGAGAAGAAATAGTCTCAGACAAAAGAGCATCTCTGGGAAAGTCTCAGCCATCCTAGGGGGTCATAGAGCAGAGGCTGCCCCTCAGAGAAGATGGGAGAGATGTCCAGGCCCCTGGACCCAGGTGGGCTCCAACGCTGGCAGGACCCGACCTTGACAGGAAAGCTGTAGCAGATCCAGAAGCCACCACGCCGAGCAGCTGCTGGTTGAGCACAGTCCCTGTGCGGGCTCTTATCTGAAGCCTGCTGGACAGACGCTTCCACAGCCACTGCAGGCCAACGAGCTACTGAAATCATGAAAGTGCCAATGACGGACTCGCCAGGGTGGTGATGTTAGTTCAGAAGAGGTGAAGCAAAGACGCATATGTATACGGATGCCTGCGTGTCTGTGTAGAGGAAGGGGTAAAGGGGAAAGAAAGGACAGGATAACGTTTCAAAATTGTATTTGAAACTGGTTAACATCTACCAGGTAATGAAAGCTCAGCTTTGGTAGTTATCCTTTTCTACCAGGCGGAAATCGCTCGCAGTTTTTTCCTAGAAGTAACATGTATGTGCTGTCTAGGGTCCAGGCCTAATCAATAGTAAATAGCAAGTCAGATACAGTGATATGCACAGAAATCGGACACTAATTGGAGAATGCTCTGGTAGGAGGCAGAGTCATCTCTGTGTGCTGCTTTTGGATAATTAAGAACTCTGGGGGCTGACATTCTAGAGAGACGGGGACATAGGTAAATAGCCAGTTAAAACATCGTGTGACAGGTGCTACAACAGGGGTCAGCCACAGAGGGGCAGGTAACTCAGTCTAGGTACAGGGGCACAGGGCCGTCCACAGGCAAAGATGTGTCACCTGAGCTAGAAGGATGACAGCGTTAACCAGGTCCCGGGGGAGCACAGCAGGGCACAAGATCTGCGTGGAGCCTTCCTATGACACCTCTCTATACCTGCAAGCTGCAGCAGGACAAGAAGGGCCAATCTCAAGGGCTTGGAGCAAGTGCTGAGCTTGCAAAGCCAGCAGGTTAAATAATGAACTATCTTGGGTGCCATGCTCAGGAATGTGGATTTGTCTACTGAATGTAATGAGGAGACATGAAGTGTTTAAAATGAGAAAATAATATGATCAATATTTCTGCAGGTGACTCTGGGCCCAGTGACACGCACCTGCTGTCCTTGGAGTCTGAAGTGGGAGGTGCACTGGAGCCCAGCAGCTCATGGCCAGCCTTGAGACACTGTGTCCCAAAATATGTGCCGAATAGATTTGTTGTTCGTGACCACTCTAGTTGAAGGGTGGAAGATGGAGTGAAAGGACCCCAAGCTACAGTCAGGCAGGTGGGTCATGAGGCTGCTGTCGTTTAGGTAGGAAGTGACAGTGGCCCAAACTGGGATGGGGATGACAGGGCAACCTCAGGCAGCAGGGACACGTGCTGAGCTGGCCGCTCTGGCTCTCCAGCACTGCAGTTTATCTCCTGCTCACCAGAATGCTCCTTAGCCAGCTGCATGAAGGATGTCAGGGCCAAGAAAGAGATGACAGGGCTGCTAACTCCTATGAGCCATGGTCCACACAAGTCCGCAGTTACAGTATCAGTCTGCAGCACCAGGACATGCACAGCTTTATTCTTATTGCAAAGGGAAGCCACTTAGCAGAGTGTGGGGTGTCACTTACTTTTGCAAATGATCCCTCTAGCTAGGGAGTCCGTATGTCCAGGTGCGCTCTGGACAGTCCTGGCCTAGATCTTTTGCCTAGAGGAATTTGTTTGTAGAGCCTCCTTTTGTTTTCTTAAGTGCGCTGGTTTGGACCACAAACGATAAGACTCCGCTCGGAGGAGACATGGAGGAGGCCTCGGAGCGCGTCTGCAGTTCCGCTAGACACTGTGGTGGGGTCCTGGGTGGGGTGATGGCACTGATGCCCTTGGGTTGGTGTATGCAGGGAGGTCCAGCAGGATGGCAGCTGGGTTCACGGAGCAGAGAAGGAGAGGAGTCCTGCGCCCACGAACTGCACCCAGGCGGCAAATCCCACCTCTGTATCGCTCTCAGGTCTGCCATTCTTCACCCATGCACAAACCCAGCTCCCTGGCTCAAGTCTCTTCATGTCCCACCCGAATTCAGGCCCTGCCTTCCATCCCAGTGGACATCAGTCACTGTCCCCCTGGGCGATGGTCACACCTCTATCCCTGCAGCCTGCATCAAGGGCAGGCCCTTGAACTTGGTCAAACACCACCTTCACATCCTTGTCCCATGTGGACTGCCCCCAGGTGTCCTCGGGACCCTTCCGCCCTTTGGGTCACTCTGGATTCATGCCTGTCTCCTCCTGCCATCCCTGCCAGCTGAAGTTTTTATCCTTTGGGAAATGTAAATGTCGCCTCCACAGGGGTCACGCTCTTCTCCAAACGCCCAAGGCTCTCCAGTCTCACCTCTCCCGTGGCTTCACTGTCGTCTTCTTGTAAAACAGCCATCTGTGTGTTTACCCTCATCCCTGGAAGAGTGTGTGAGCTGCTGACGGAAGGAGTGATGTTTCTCCCTTCTAATCTCCCACCAAGAGCTTGGCGCACCACCAAAGGCTCAACTATCTGTGGAGTGGGATATGTCAGGCAGGGGGAACTCTGCCTGTGGTTTTCACTGATCTGACCCTGGTGGCTTTACCCGCCTGAGTCTCTCCTGACTGGAATCTCCCCATGAGTTCTTTGCTCCCAACCAGGAGTGGACATCCTATAGGCTAGAGCGGCCCAGGCCTGCCCCAGGCTACTAGGACTGGTGCAGAGGCTGTACAGATGTTAGACTCTTTCATTTTGTATTCTCATCACTCAGCTGGATGTGTGCTTTGGTCAATTCACTTCTGAATCTTAGGTTTCATATACACAACGCAAAGGCAACAAGATCAGTCCGGGATGCTGGGGAGATTAAAGAAGGCAGACATGTGGGATGCTTGGCAGAGAGCCTGCCACATAGGAAACTATAAATCAGTCATTGCTTATCAAGTGACTAACGAGCTGGAAGCCAGACAAAAAATCCCCGATGGAAGACACTGATGACTTTGATCACTGTAGTCAGTATTTTAATATCTTTGATGACAGTGGTCACACTGGACAGCGTGGGAGGCCTGGGCAGTCAGGCTTCCATTCCTCTGAAGACGAACTGGACAGCATTTCCCACGAAGCTGTGAAATGTTCACATCTTGGTCCCACTGACTGCGTTTCTAGGGAAATTGTATCAGGAAAGTTTACAAAAATAAGTGAAAAGCTTTTCCCCTAATGTTCACCTCAGCATCATTCACAACAGCAGAAAACGGGAACGACCAGCTGCGGAAATATTTAAGGGAAATGTGGCCCGACAGACCCTGGATGTAGCAGTTATATGTAAACACGCATTTATGAGGAGCGCGTTGTTACTGGAGGAAGTGCTTGCCGTGCTCAGCGAGAGCAGTGCGCCACGGCATTTTATGTAAATGACTCACTCTGCAGAAAGTGCACCCGCAGGAAGGCTGATTCTGGTTGTCCCTATCTCGGGGGAGATAGGGACTGTTCTTATTTCTGTTGTTAGTCTTCTTGCGGCCCTCTCGTGCGTAAAATGGAAATGCAGTACTTCTCTAACCAGCAAGAGAACTCTTGCTATTTTAAACGGTTATTGGTGGGTGCTGCCGCAGAGCCTGCTCAGCGTTGAGCCCTGGGTGTTTGGTGACGATGCCCAGTCAGTAACTACAGAGCGATGCCACCGTGGCCAGGGCACAGAGCCTGTCGTCTGGCCTCTGCACCTCGCTGGCCTCCCCGGGGAGGTGCGGAGATGCTAGCCCGCAGGTGGTCAGATCAGGTGCTCCGTGAGAGGCTCTTCCAGCCCCGCCAGTCTGAGTCTCCTTTGTGACCGCGTGTCCAAGCATGGAAATCGCGGCTCGGTCGGGCCGGCTGCGGAGTGGGAGGGTGGAGGCTGTGTGTGTTTCCGCCGCAGGGTGCCGAGCAGGTGACGACAGAGGACTGATTCAGAGGCTGCAGCTGCGTGGAAGACCGGGCCTGCCGCAGCCAGCTCTCTCTGCGGGAGTTTCGGAGAGAGAGGGGCCCCCACCCCCGCCTTTCTTCCTCCCGCTGTCGCCCTGCCAGCTCTCACTGGCTCGCCACAGGGCCATCTGACACTGGCGGCGAGCACACCTGCAGCTCTCTCCTGCGAAGGCCTGTGAGGCGCTGAGGGCCCGGGGCTGGGCTCCGCATCCTTCCTGGCTCCCTCTGCCCTTGCCGGGCACGCAGCAGAGGAAGAGTGCTCCTTCTGTTCTCAGCCTTCCATCTGGAATGCGGAGCCCCCTCGGAGCCTGGGGGACAGACAGGCTGTCACTGCAGGCCCGGGCGCAGGAGCAAACAGGTGCCAGCACCCGGAGGTGGCTTTCTACCCGGAATTAGCAGGGCAGGCACACGACTAAGTCTTAGTCCCACGGCACTAAGCTTGAGTAGACTTCTTAGGGGCTGTGTGTCAGCAGGCGCTGCCCAGCACAGCTCTGGAGACAGGCTCCGCGGGGAGTGCAGCCTGCGGCCTGGTCAGCATTGCGCCCCACATTTTACTGCCTCTGTGGCTCAGGAACAATCACCCAAGCCCCGTAAGTACCAGCTTCCTTACCTATAAAATGAGGCTCACAGACACTCACTGCGCAGGTTGCTCTGTGGGTTACACGGGGTGATACACGGAAAGCGCTCACCCCGTGTCTGGCATGCAGAGGAGCTCAGCCAACGGCGGCTGGTTTTGTTACGGAGCTCTTCCTCGGGCTCAGCCCTCATGTGGGCAGTGAACAAGGTACAGATGTCTCAACCACATCCCTACCTTGGTGAGTCAGGACTATCCCCAGGAAACAGTTACACAGCTAAGCAGCAGGTGGGTAAATGCAAAAGTGACCGGGAGGAGGCAGCAGTGCTATTTATAACAGCAGCATGCTGGCAGCAACCCAGACGCCCAGCGAGCCTGTAATGACTAAGCAAACCCCAGCCGTTACTATGCCAGGCGCCGCAGAGTGGCAGGGAAGGCGGGCATGCTGCTGATGCCCATACATGGAAACGTGTCTCCAAGATGGGAGTCTTTAGGGGAGATCACAAAAAGGCGAGAGCCCGCTGTTTCCTCAGACGTGTAAACACAGGTGAAGTCTTCCACACAGGTCAGAGGAGAGCTTGGAGGCATGAAAGTGAGTGAATGCACGTCTGCTTGTATTTTTGTTTTGACAGGTCATTTAATGAAGCAACTTTAGAAAAGACAGTGGGGTCACTAGCACTAGAAAGTCTTCTTTCTTTCTTTCTTTTTACCTTCTTTCTTTCTTTTTCCTTTCTTTCTTTCCTAGACAAAATGCCCAGACTAGGCACAAAATATGGGATCCTCCTGCCTCAGCCTTCTTGAGTACTGGGATTACAGGCAAGCACCACCAAGCCCAGCTCACTGGGGTCCTAAGAGGAGTTCCAAAGAGAGCAAGTGTGGAGTAGAAGGCTAAGGAAGGCTTCACAGGGATGAAGATGTCCTAGCACATGTGGAAGCATCTGTAGATTTGAATAAGGGGAACAGAATTATCCCAATGGGACTGTTTGTGTCCCCCTCACCTGCCATTTTCTTCTGCTCAAAAGAGAAGCTTGAGTTGTGTCCCTCGGGACAGTATGGGAATCAAGCAGGGGAGAGTCAGGCCTGGGCTTCTCCTCAGGGGTCAAGGGGATTCAAGGTGAGGCTGTTTATGCACCAGGCATCACGACTTGGCTCATCTACACTACAAACTGGAAACTGGATCTCTGGGGCTATAAGAGGTCCACCAGCTGTTGTTCAGGTCTGGCCAGCCCTGGGGCAGCTCTGGGGTCATGCCTCTGTCCCCAGTGTGAGTCTGGAGGCCTCAAGAAGGGGCACTTCCAGTGGGTGAACACATCCAGGTGCTAAGAGGGCCACACAGCCCGGCCCCATGGGCACAGTAGCTCCTGTTCTCAGCACCCCGCTGAGCCTCACCTTTGTCCAGCTGTGATCCCGTGCACCTTCACAAACTCGTAAAGAGTGTTCCTGGGGGAGGGGGCTGGGGATTTAGCTCAGCAGCAAAGCGCCTGCCTGGCAAGTGCAAGGTCGTGAGTTCGATTCCTGGCACTGGAAGAAAAACAAAAACACAAAACAAAACAAAATGAAGAGTGTTCCTGGGTTCTGAGAGTTGTTCTAGCAGCTTCTCAAGGAATTCTGATTTTATAACCAGTTGTTCAGAAGTCCAGGAGGCTCAGGACTTCCGGGTGGCATCCGACGGGGTACAGTCTTGGGGGAGGAAGCCATTAAACCTGAAGGATCTGCACTAACTCTGAGCAGTGCCGGGACTGAGCTATAGGACTGAACTTGTGACCAGAGAATCGGAGAGCCGGTGGTCAGTGACAGAAAACATCCTATCGCCTAAACTTTCAAATTAACTGTGTGCCCCTAAGAAGTGGGGGAGACACGAGAGGCCCCAGGCAAGGGCTAAAGTATATCCGGGGCACTGCTCTGAGAGTTTCCTGAGGATTACACCGCCCTTGCCAGGGGTTAGGAGAGCCTGGGCCTCGCCTGCTCTTCCCATCAACTCCTTAGGAAATTGTAATGAGTTAGATGCTACCAAGCTTCCCCCCGACAAATTTTCAAAACCTGTTTGTTTTTTGAGAAAGTGTCCTCACTATATTGCTCATCCCATCCTCAAAATCCTAGGCTCAGGCAGTCCTCTTGCCTCAGCCTCCAGAGTACCTGGAACTACAGGTGCATGCCATCACACCCAACCTAAAATTTCAATGCCTTAATCGTTTATATGTTTGCTGCCTTAAAAAATCATGGACTTGTTACTTATCATGCTCTTATTTCAGGTTTCCACAGAATGCAGTATTATCTCTAACCCTGTTTTGAATGTGCTTTTAAAGAACAGTTTTAGTTCCCTCCTCATAGCCAACAGGATTCAGAGCCTCTTTCTCTGCTCATCCTGCTGGACAGCCACTCCCACATCCCCGAGGAAAAGAAAACCTGCCCAAACGTAAATCTCCACGAAGAGCTCAAGCCCAGTGTTGCAGTCTTTTTTCAGATCGCCTCCTGCCCCGGCCCTCATCCCGCCGAGGCAATTCGCTGCTTGGTTTCTCCTCCGCTTATCTTGAAGGCACTTCAGACTTACGCTGTCCGTAAGTAAATGCGAGGTCTCTCCAAGCCTGCACTGCCGGCCAGTGAGTCTTCCTGAGGCTCCAGGTGAGCGGCACAGCATCCAGCCCTGGGGTCACCTCAGCAAGAAACTGGGAGCTGCTCTTATTTCCTTTATCTCCCCAACCTCTCCAGACCCCAGCCGCTCTGTCTTCCCACGAGCCCTGAAATCCACCCCCTGCTGCCCCGTAGTCCAGTCTCTCACCAGGAGGCTGTCGGCCTCCTCCCAGGATCCGTCTAGATTCCCTTCCCGCCTGACCCCGCACATCTGACCCTCTGCTGAGAGCCTTCCGAGCGCTTCCTAGTCCCTGAAACACCAGTTCTCTCAGGCCCTGCCGAAATGCCCTTGTGCTCTGTGCTCTGCCTCCTGGGCTTCCACTTGTCCCACACCCTCTCAAGTAGGCCTTTGACCATCAGTGCCTTCCATCTAAATCAGTGGGGGCGAACCTATGGCACGCGGGCTGCGGCAGGCTGTTTGTGTCATTGAAAGCTCTAGAAGGTTCGCCATCTCTGCTGTGGACTGTTCAGAGGCCACCACAACCGTCCCTCCATCTAGCTAGGCGCCCACCTGGCTTTTGAACTTCTGCTCAAGCATCATTTCAAGAGAAGCCCTCTCTGATCCCTTGGTCTAGGCAGCTCCTTTACAACAAATTCTCCTTTAACCCACTCTTTCCCTTCCCCAGAGCACGCATCTTGGCTTGCAGTTATGTATCGTTAATGTGACAGCTTGATTTCTCTGTTCATTATTGGATTCCAGCATCCAGCGTAGAGCCTAATTCATGTTGTCTTCTAAACCATTTAATGATTTAGTGAATCCGTGCATACATGAATGAATGAGTTAAAATACTGGGGCTCTGGCTAATCTTTTGATTTTCTAAAACTCATGACGTCACAAAGTTGATCAAAGCCATACATTTCAAATGTCCACTGGGATGAGTACCAGGGAGGTGGGGAGTTGCGAAACCAGGGATGACGACAGGGGCGCTGTCCTGCAAGTGCCCGGCACTCAGTCACTCCGCGGCACCTCATGGACAGGACACGATTCAGGGAGCAGCTGGGTGGAAAGGTTTGGAAATCAACCCAGCTCCTCCTGGGTGCTGAGCCCCTCCTTTCAGCCCGGTGCCTGAGGCTCTGGAGGAGCGGTGGGCATCCTCGGTTGTTCAGCTTCAGGGAGAGGGCTCCTGTTCATCTGGAGGCTCAGGGAGACTGAAAGTGCTTTAGTGTTGGGGCAGAGGCCACACGGCAGAAGTCCTTCCTGCTGCATTAGCTTCCCATCGCCGGGGCAAAGCACCTGACCCCTGCAGTTCAAAGGCGGAGAGGTCTGTTTCGGGTTCACACGGTCAAAGACGTCAGCCCACGGCTGGCTCCGAGGGAGGAACATCATGAAGAAAGGGCGTGGTGCGGAAAGCTGCCCCACCCATGCTTCTCAGCCGCCAAAGGCGCAGAGAAAAAGGGCCAGAGGCAGGACACGTCCCCAAGGTCTCGTCCCCAGGCCTCACGTCCTCCAGCCCGTTCAGCCGTGAACTTGCCATTGGGTTAACCCCTTGACGAGGTCAGTGCGTTCACAATCCAGGCAGCTCTTAATCCAGTTCAGGTGACTGCCAAGATTATAGTGCTCTGATGCCTGTCCTGCCCCTGATGAGAGTTTGGGTGGGGAAAGCAAGGTGCAATTACACAGGTCCCTAAACCACCGAGGTGCTAAGGAACCACGCATTCAGCATATGAAAAGGGGAAACAGATGCTTATTAAGGGCCAGAGACCAATGCAGTGGTACTGGCAGCTCTCCTGCAGTGGCTCCACCAGCCCTGCTGCCAGGGCAAGGCATCCTAATCCAGCGGTGGGCATGCAAGTATACATACACACAAGCACACATGGGTGGCATGTACATGTGTGCACACATGTGTTGGATGTGGCTATCAAAAGAACTGGCATTAATGGAGCCTTGTGAGTGAAGGTGATTCCCCACCCTCCCTGTCAGAGCTTCTGTCCAGGGAGACGTACAGGTGTAGACTGGCTCTCACAGAGTGCTGTGATTTGAACAAGAGTCCCCAAAGGAAGGAGATGTTCAAACTTGGTCCCCAGCTGGTAGTGCTATTCAGAGGTGGTGGAACCTCTCAGAGCTAAGGCTGAGTGGGAGATCTTCTGGTCACAGGGCCATGGCCTTGAATGAGACAGTTAGACCCCATCCCTCCTCTTCCTTTCTTTTTTAGATCCAGGCACGAGGATGAGCTTCCTGGCCATGGTCTACGGCCACGGTGTACTGCATCACCACAGGCCCAAAACAACAGAGCCAATTCATCGTGGGTGAAAACCTTCCAAACTGTGAACCCAAACAAACCTGGATTGTTTTGAAAATTCTCTGTGTTCAACTGAGTGGTTTTCCTGTCCTTGCTTCTCCAAGAACACCAAATCGTAGAGAGAAATGGTAAAGGGCTGGAGATGTAGTTCAGAAGCAGGGCAGGTAGAAGGCCCTGGATTAGAGTCAGAGAGAGAGAGAAGAAGAAGAAGATGAAGAAGAAGGATAAGAAGAAGGAGGAGGAGGAAGAGCAGGAGGAAGAGGAGGGGGAGGAGGGGGAGGAGGAGAACAGGAAGAAGGAGGAAGAGGAGGAGAAGAGAAGAGGGAGGTGTGGGAGGGGACTGGCGGGGCCTGAGTCACCCACAGGTACACAGGGGATGGCACTTCTGACATGTCCAACGGGGCTGCAGGGGAGGGGAGAGGAAGGAAAGGAGAGAATTGCTCAGAAGTTGGCCTCCGCATCACCTTGTGACTATAGGACCTTACACTGTGATATCGTATATCACATAAATTCTTAGCCTCTATGTGAGTTCTGCTGACTTCACTGGCTGTCATTCTTCAACAATCACTTTGGTTCCTTTTCTCTGACAACAAGCAAAGATTAGCATGTATCACTGACTATCTCTCCATACAGCGATAGCCATTGCCAATGTCTGAGTAATTCTTTGCCACCAAGCATAAATAATATAGCCTTTATTATATAAAATTGTGATGATGTGGTGCACTTTGCTTCTATTGTGGCTTCCTGTGTTAAGAATGACCACAGCCCGCTCCCTAACATGGCCTTATGGCTGCGCATCGTTACACCTGTGGATGTCCCAGGACTTAACAAATCCCCTCAGACGCACCTTTGTTTCTGTACAACTTTTGATCATGCAAGTGGTGTAGGACCCAACAAATCCCCTCCAGTTCCTTAGGATAAATTCCTGGATGTGAATAGCTGAGTCACGGGATATGAATTTTCATATTTACTGCCAAATCATCTCTCCTAAAGGCAACGGTATGACTCCCATCTGAAACTCATGTCAACACACAACTGCCGCTTAACAATAGGAGGAGGTGGACCCTTCCCGAGATTGCTTAGGCCGTGAGGGAGGAGCTTCACCCCTCTGTCCCAGGGGCAGAGTTCGCCACTCTTGGGAGTGGATTCCAGTCAAGAGGCTGAGTGCAGCCTGACCTCCTCTGCACTCCCCACTTCCTCACTTAACTTTCTAGCACATCATGACGCAGCACTAAGCACTTAGCGGGTGCTGGTGCCAAGCTCTGGGACACCCCAGCCTCCAGAGCCGCAGGCCGGATTCACTGCTGTTGCTCATACACCACACAGCCCGTGGGATTCTGTCATGGCACCTGAAAACACACTGAGGCACCAGTTTTATTAACAGTGTGAGGACACAGCGTGCGCAAGTGTCCACCTCCCCAGACACTCAGCACTGGAGAGCGGCGATTTCTTCTCTCTTAGCTCTTTAATTTTAAGCAAAATGGTACATGTTCAACATGCTGAAAGCCACCCTCATACCCTTCCCCTCCTGATGCAGCCACAGATACACAGAGGATGGCACTTCCAACTGACCAAAGATACACAGGCAAATTTCACTGCCCATATTTCAACGTGAATATTCAAGTAGGTTTCATCTTCTCTGATGTGTCGTGAGTGAACATGTACAGCGTGGTCCTCCTCACACATGTAAAATAGGCTGTTAGAGGCAATGCTCCCAGCACTTGTCACCAACTTAAGGTGGCTTGAACTCTGTACCATTGGGGTCATGATTTTTAGTAACCTTATTCTTCTACTGTCTCATGACTCCTTGTTCTCTTTTGCTGTCCTGCAGGCTTTCAGCTCTCTGTGGCTTCGTGAGGCAGAGAGGAAGGGGAGTTGCCCGCCCAAGCCCTCCAGGGGAGAGTGATGCTGACTGCGCCCCCGCTTGAGGTGAGGAGTCCATCTGCCACGTGTCTGCTGCCTCCCTGACACTGACTTGGGCTTGGGAAGTAGCCATGGGTTTGGACGCAGGAAAGTCCCAGTGACTCATCCTGTCCTGGATGGCTGGGTGAGATCAAGACACTCTCTTAAGGTAAAGGGGCCTCATTTGAAATTCACCAAAACCCCCCAGTGTCTCCAGCAGTTCCTCCCGTCTGAGAAGCTGCACTGGCTTTGTGACACTTGACCATTCACATTTGGCTGTAGCAAGGTCCAGCTCCGGAATTTAATCATCATATTGAACAACTAATTTCGAAATTGGGCTTTTGATCAGGACTTCCTCATAGGAATATTAATTGCCTGAAGTTTGCAGCCAGAAAATACCTGACAGCCTGGATTTTATGGCTCGTTCTAGATAATAGTGACACATCCCTGAGAAATGCTTCTGCTCCCTAACTCCTTAAATTGGATGTTGTTTATAATAATGTAGCTGAAGCAGTAGCACTTTATCATAAGAGCTGCTGTCCCCACAGAAAGTCATTATTCAGTGTATTCTTGATAAATTGGTCATCACTCATAGGCAGGAGAGAAACTGATGTGCCCTACGTTATTTACAGGGGAACAGGCAATGTGTTATCTTCTTATTGGCCTGATGTTTTTCCCACCAGGTTTTTGCTACCAGAAGGGTTATGTTTTCTCCTGCACATCACTCAGGGAATTATGTCAATATTTTTGGTCTTAAAGGCTTTCATACCCAAGCTATAGGAATCCCACTTCTAGTTCCAGAATGATTTTCAGAGGACAATCTGGGGAAGGGAATTCTTTTCAGATATGATTTAGTCTCTGACCTCCCAAATGAAAAAACGAAGACGTGGTGAACAGTCATGAGTAACTTTGTTTCCGAAAACCATCCGTGTCATCAGATGAAAGCCAGATGGTTTCACCTCCCCCTCGTGTACAGAGAGGCAATGGGGCGCTGCAGTTCTGTGTCCCAAGCAGAAACCAGGCAAGCTAGAGATTAATGCCCTCCTCCGCTGACCTGTTGGTCACTTTCCCATCACTGGGACACGGTATCCGACGCCCACAACTTAAAGGACGAGCACTTTACCTCACCTCATGGTTTCAGGAGACTCGGTTCATGGTCAGCTGGCTCCAGGGCAGGAACATCATGGTGGAGGAGCATGGTAGAGTCTAGCTGCTTCTTCCATGGTGGCCAGGAAGCGGGGCCGGACACAGTGTCAGAGAGGGAGCAGCCAGGAGCCAGACACGGTCTCCAAGGAGACACCTCCGGGAGCCCCCACACACACGCAGAAGCTGCCTTACTAACCCTGACAGCTCCCAAGCCAGCCAAGTCGGCCGCTAGCTTATCTAGCCCATCAGCCAAGGAGAGAAGCCCAGGGGAGAACACGGCGTTGCAGCGGGGACAGAGTTGTGGGTGGACATCTACGGGCTCTCAGCCCCCCACCTTGGGTGTGGGCATGGCTAGCTGCCCACTCCGCTTGGTCCATCATGGAAGACAGTGTCCCTGGCTATGGCTGCTCTCACTCCGTCTGCCAGCTGTGTGGGTGTGCGTGGCATCCTGGTAAAGCGCCTGGGGGAGGTGTCCCTGAGAATGGTGTCAAGCAGGTCACATGCAGCTTGTTGTCCTTTCAAGGTCTCGGGCTCTCCTCTGGAGCATTCCGGGTATTAGATTCTGCTGATATGGCTCCAAGACCACAAGAAAACTTGCACCTTTTTGTGCTCTCTTGACTCCAGGTGATAATTCTTAGGGAGCTCATCTGCTGGTCTCTACAGAGTCCTCACTGCATCCTCAGCACGGTGCTGTCAGGGGAAAGTGGCACCAGAGTGGCCCCACACATGGCACTGCACATGTACGGCATTTCAAATGCTTCCGCAAGCACTGTCCCCGGGTGACGCAATCAGCGGTTCAAGGGCATGCATCCTCAGTCCCACCACCAGCTAAGTGTGTGCCTGGGTCTTTTTCCTTCTGCCAGGGTCAGAGCCCTGTCCCTCTTCTGGAAAGTAGGACTGTGCTTGTGCTGATGCAGGAGGGCTTCACTGGGGATCAAAGGTACACACAAGTCTTCATTCCCGCTTCCCGCTGTCCTCACACCAGCCCCTGTGCTGACGAAGAAACACCGGCAGCAGGGCGCAGGCAGCAGCGGTGTTGTATAAATAGCTGTGGTGGGTACTGCATTTGCAGTTTTCACCTGCTTTCACACATCTTATCTTGGCTAGGTTTTTTCACAACCCCCTTCCTTACAGGTGAGGAGATAAGCTCAGGAAGCAGGGCAGATGCATGAGTGTTCTGCAGAGGAACAGAAGCAATATACAATATACTTATGATCATACACAGGATTTATCAGGCAGGCTTGCAGGGCCAGAAAGGGAAGCGTTCCAATGGGAATCTGTGGATCAGAGGCAAAAGAATCCAAGATGGCTGTCTGTGGAGCCTGAGAGCTGGAGGATCCAGGAGCAGTTGAAGGTTGAAGACCTGGAAGTTCTCTGTACTTGCCAGTGCAAGTCTGCGCTGGAGGGCTGGCAACCAATATCCAAAAGCAATAATGGAGGCCAGAGCTCCTCCAAAAAGGGAACATTCCCTTCTTCTTTCCCTTTTTATTCCACCAGGCTGCAAGGCTATTGGTTGGCACTGCCCACACCCGGTGGGGGGGCTGCCCTCCTCAGTTTGCTGGCCTTCAGGTCAGTCACCCAAGACACACCCAGAGCTTCTCTACTCTGCTAGGTGCTTCCTTCCAAAGCTGATGTACCACCACGACTGATCACAATGGGCCCTGGCTCTCACTGCTGGCGTCTGGGGCTGGAAATGCTTTGCTGGGGCTATCTTGAGGGGTGTTCCACATCCTTGATTTTGAGGCTAGTGGCACAGTCTTAGATATGCCAACCCCTAAATTTTCAACTTGTCCTGTAAGGGGCAGACTGTACCCCAATGGAGAAACACTGGGGTGGGGTAATTTGTACACAGGGTAATGAAGAACAGAGAGACCAGGAAAAGTCCCCGTGCCCCACACCCACAGATAGTCTGTCCCCAGCCACTGCTATACCTCTCCTCAAAGGATTTATTACAGAGCCGTAAGCAAAGCTCCTGGTAAGTTCTGCCTGATGCACAGTAGAAGTTCCGAGAGGGAAACATTTGTGTGAGCTTTGGGCTGAGGCATCAGCCTTCCCTTTCTGACCCAGGACAGTGAAGTGAAGGGCAGGGAATGTGTCCTGGTGCTACAGACTGAAGGGAAGACAAATGTGTGGGGTGCTGCAGCAGAGAGAACCCCAGTGAAGACACAGAGGGAACTCCATGGGGTGGGACGAGGACGGAAGGGTCCACAGTGGGGAGGTGGGAGATGAAGCTGGGGGTGGCGAAGGAGAGGACAGAGGAGCTGACATGGTAAGTCGGGCCTGTGGGGGCGATAGAGGCTTATCTAGCAAGAGTGTGCAGCTAACAGGTAGGCCTGGTGGTGTATGTCTGTAATCCCAGCTCTCAGGAGGCTGAGGCAGGAGGATTGTTGCAAGTTCGAGGCCAGCCTGGGCTACAAAGTGAGCTCAACAACAGCCTGAACTGCATAGCGAGACCCTGTCTCAAACAGGCAAAAAAAAAAAAAAAAAGAGTGTGCAGCTAGTCTGTTATGAGACTCACCCCTTTTTTTTTCTTTGTATTTTATTTTATATTTTGGTAGTGGGGATTAAACACAGGGCCTTTGCACTGAGCTATAACCCCAGCCCTTTTTTATTTTTACACAGGGTTTCACTGAGTTACTAAATTACCCAGGCTGGACTTGAGCTTGGGCTCCTCCTCCCTTGGACTCCCACAGGCACGCGTCTCCAAGTCCTGCCCAGCTGCCACAGGAAGGACGGATGACTGGCCTGTACGTGGCACAGCAAGCAAGGTCACGAAGGAAAGGCACTTCAGACCCAAAGCCCGCTGAGGACTAGGGTGCCTCGGGGGCAGCTGGCAGCCCAGCACTGACCCGGCTCAGCTCAGAGGCCCTGCGTCTCGCTCCAGGATGACCCCCTGAAGGCCAGCTGATCCCCACAGAAGCCATTGTTCTCGCCCACCAGCGTCCCCAAGACAACAGGCAGAGAGGGCTTTGAGGGAGCCTCTTCCTGGCTCAGGGCAGGAGGCTGTGCAGAGGAGAAGGCCGAGAGCCTCACGGGGGAGTCAGGATTTCCCGGGGCGAGCAACAAACCCTCAGGGCTTCCACACTCCCACTCCTCAGGAAATCCGGCCCCACAAGCAACAACACAAAACCCTTGAAAAAAGGCAGTATTCAAGTCACAGGTCTATTTTTAGTCTGCACGAGCTGACTTGTGCTTATGTGACTGTCCCACTGTCTACCTGTGAGCATTGCAACACTTCCTGTGTGTAAGGCATCCTGCGTTTTGTGGCTGGGGAGCTGGGGGGGGGGGGGCTCTTAGCGGGGGTCAGACCTTGGCTGTAGGCGGCCCGGGCACAAGGGGCCAGGCTGGACAACTGCCGAGGGAAACTGGCGACCGTCCCCGTGGGCTGTAAGCTCACAGCGCTTTTGGGTTTTCCACCTCTCAGTAGGTCAGCTCTTTCTCCTGCACAGCTACACGCTGTTCACTGGGTTATTCACATACTTTTTTTCTGGAGCATTGAATACGTGCTGTGTGTCAGCTTCTCTTTGCCAGGTGGGGTCTCAGAAAGACCTAAGAGTGAAAGCACAAAGAAAGAAAATGGCCCTAACATGACAGTGCCCCAGGGCATCATGGGAAGCGGGGCCCTGTGGGAGCAGAGCAGTGGGAGGGCCTGGCCTTGCTCATCAGGGACACCTGAACTGTGTTCAAGGATGAGGTCTCCAAAGCCAGGCCCCTGGAGTGTTAGCAGTTCAGCCTAGGAAAGCGGGGTCACCAAGGACGAGGACCACCTGGACAGATTCTCTGCATGTATGTCTATCACCAGGTCCTTTCTGAGAGTCCCAAGAAAAAAGTAAAACTGCCTGTTCAAAGGCTGAGTGTGCGTCTCCTCCAGCCCAAGCGGCCGTGGCGGAGGCCTCCCGAGGGGTGCTGCAGGCACAGCCACCAGCAGAGGGGGCCTCAGGCTTGGCCAAGGGGCGGAGAAGGACCTTTGGAGAGAGAGAGGGCCCAGCACAGGGGACAGAGTTACCGGGAAACTGTTTGGCTTGATCGCTACTTGCTGAGGATGAAGTCACAGCCAGTGGGAAATGCCCAGTGATTAACAGAGGTTACAAAACCAGAGGAAGAAGGCCCAGGCTGGGAACAAGCTGGGGGCCAGGGAGCTCCGCTTGTCCTTAGAGCCGCACCTCAGGCAGCACCAAGGCCTGAGGAGTTCACACTGGCCTGCAGGGCCTGGCCTAGATCCAGGCCCAGACCCTCCCATCACACGGGGTGTTCACTGCTAACCCTGAGGGAGACTTTGCACACTGAGGAAAACAGTGTGGGGCCCCGGGGGCCACCAGCAGGGGACGGTGACTTCCCGACTCATGGATGACTCCATCTGGGAAGTCAGAAGCTGGAGCCCCTCGCCACTGCCAAGGGGCCATGAGGACAGTTCCGAGGTCTCCTCCGGTCACAGAGCCTTCCAACGACTGTGACAGGGCAGCCTGTGGAGACTGCGTGTCTCTGTGGACCCAGCTGCCGTGGTCTGTGCGGGTGGGGAGCCAGTGGCCTTGATGACCCTGGGGTCTAGGGACAATGCCCCGAGGGACGGTAGGACAAGGCCCTGCTGTGACAGACGACCAGTCAGTAGGGTGCCTGCCCTCCCCCTTTCACACAGAAAAAGCAGCCCCTTATCACGTAAGCCCTGCCCCCTCGGAACCCTGCCGCGGCCCCTTGCGGCTCTACGCCGGCTGGGTGCTGCTCGGGAGGGCTGGCTGTGCAGGAGGAAGGCATCCGTCGGAGGAGCCCAGGATTTGTGACCCTGCCTCCTGGAGCAGGCTGGCGGAGGCGCTGCAGACCATGGGCAGAGCTGCTCCGGGGCGCCCAGGACAAGCCACCCGGGCAGCGCAGTGGCCCTGGGGCGCAGTGCCCGCTTCCGACGCCAGCCCCCGGCTGCCCCACTGGCATCCACCCAGCTCCGGTCGCCGCGCAGCCCTGGAGCAGCCTGGGACGCGGCCCTGCAGGCTGGGCCGCCTTGGGAGGTGGTGCTACGTCCACAGCAGTCACTACGGGCCACAGGACGGCCCGGGCCAGCAGGGTCAGAGCTGGGCTGCCGGGCCCGCCCTGCTTCCCGGCTCTGTGCGCCCGGCGCGGCCCGCAGGAGGCGGTTACAGACCCCTGGCCCGGCCTGGAGAACGTGCGCTCCTGGAGGTGGACTCGCCACCGCCGCGCGACCTGGACCCGCTCACGTCCTGGGCCTGGCTCACAGCCTCGGGTGTCACTGGCGGCCCCGGCCGGGCGCGGTGGCCGTGCCCATTCTCTCTCTCTCGGAGTTCTCCGGCTCCCCCTCCTTCTCCCGCCCGCCGCAGGCAGGAAGTGGAAATCCATGGGGTCCTCCCCCTGGTCTCCAGACACGTGGCACTGCCGCCCCGAGGCCCCAGGGAAGCCCCAGAAGCCCTGCGCACCCTCCAGGGCCCAGCCCCCAGGTCTGCGCTCAGATCCCGGGCCTCTCACTCTCCACTGGGCAGCCCCCGGCTACGCAGCGCCTCACAGGAGCCAGGCGCCCACGGGAGGACAGCCGGGTGCTGAGAAAGAGGCCGTGCGGGCGGAGGAAGGCAGGACGCCCGCAGGGCTGAGCTCTCTGAGTCCTGAGCCGGCGCCACTCCCTGGGAAATAGCAGCGCCAGGCCTCACCGGCTGGACCCCGGGCCACCGTGTGGGCGGGTACTGTGACAGCAGCGGGGTTTCCCCTTGGGTGCAGAAGGTCATCAGGGGCCGCGGAAGCTATCTGTGATTGGACCCATACACTCTACCTCAGCCCCGGGGAGGAGTTTTCACGTACAGGCTGACACTTCAGCTTCCCAGGGCCCCAGGAGCCGGGTGCTGGAGCTGTTTCCCAGATGTGGAAACAGATGAGCTGGTTAGGATGGGAATTTTCTTTCCAACCCACTGTAGTTTAGTTTCTTTTTATAGTCTCACCATTAGCCCACAGCTGGGGGAGGAGGGGTCCATGCAGCTCTCTGAGGGGAGACATGAGAGACACTGGCCCAGCCGTGGTAGAGCAGAAGAGGTCAGCTGGGGCACTCCGGCCTCTGGAGCCCTGCCCTGCTTGCAGCACCCCCGGGCTTGGATCCCGCCTTGCCTGCGTTGGGGCCAGCAGCAAGGGGAGCGTCACTCTCCCAGACCTGCCAGCCCTGCCCTGGGAGATGGAGAATTTCATCTGTCCAGGCCGAGCTTCCCTTGTTTATTTCACCAGTCCAGGGAGGGCTGATGAGGGTCAGTGTTATTCAAGGTTTTGTTTTCCAAAGGCTGGAGGCAAAGGTAGTGTGCTAGACGGGAACGCAGAGGCCTCGGCACACCTGCCAGGAACAATAAACACGCGGGCTGTTCTAATTGTATTTTCCTTTCTCTCAGCGCTCCCAAACTCACTGCACCAAGCAAATGGAGAAGCAATCTGCTGCTAACCAACTCGGCCCCTCTGCCCACACACATTCCCTGCTTGCTCAGGACAGAAGGGAAGAATGAAAACGACACCAGAATTAGTGCCCTGAGTTCAGGAAATCCCAGCCCCCAGAGCCGGCAGGCTAAGACGGGTCCCTGCGTGAATGCCAGCTGTCGGGGCGTGTGTGCCACAGTATGCGCCCCCGTCCAGATGGGCGCTGTGTGCTCTCAGCGTTGGAATGGCAAGAAGGGCACCAGCTCGAGCTGTTTAATTTTGCTCTTGCTTCCCGATGGGCCTCAGCTTCGATGACCAGTATAAAGTTACTTGCCCAAGAAGCCAGGAAAACATTTCGTGTCAAGAAGGAGCGGGGTGGATGGAGCTGGCCCGAGTTTTGACAGAGAACAAGTTTCCACTTACGGCTGGGCTTGCCTGCCCCTGCTCTCACAGAATGGATCCCAGCTGTGCAGCCGCTGGCGGGCTCAGACAGCGCCCCCTCCGCAGTGCTGGCGCATGCCGGAAGCGGGCACTGAGAACAGGTGGGCTGTGGCCAGAGGAGAAAACCTGACCGCTCACGCGGCCCAGACAGCTCAGCCCAGTCCACAGAAGTTTACAGGGCTCCTCAAAATGAAGCGCATCAGGAAAGAGAGCGACCCAGAAAGCAAACATCCAGCCAAAAGGAAAGAACCCATGAAACCGTTAGACGGTGCTCGAGAACTGCCTGGGCTTTGGGCTTCAGAGAAGTTGTCTGCGTCATTAAGTCCTCAGTCCTCTTGGCCAGAACCTGAACCAAGAGTCTCAGAGTTCTAAGATGAGGTGAGTCTGAGTTCCAGTCCAGTGCAGGCCTTGAGGTAGCATTGCCCTTTCCCTGGGTCTCAGCTTCCTGGGAAGTTGGAGTGGGTGGCCTCTGAGAGCCCTGCTTAGAGAGATCGTTCTAAGACTACCCAAATTTGGATGTGATCTTTGGGCCAGCAGGCAGCTTTCTAGATATGTCCGTTAAAGATACTAACTTTCTCGTGGGTAGTACCCAATTTGCTCTTTCCCTGGAAATGAAAGATTTGGACACTAACGGATACGACATTTGTGTGGGCGGTACGTAGATAAACAAATATGTGTGCCAGACAGATGGAACTCTGGTTGGATCACTTTTAAGCAATGCCTTATAATCACTCAGCAGAAACTACCAAACACTCACATCTACGGTTTACAGAAATTTCTAAGCAATGCCCGGCGATAGTTGTTATTACAAATATTTGCAAACTTGAATCTCTTGGAGAGCTGTCAGTTGCTCAGTGGCTTAGTGTGAAGTTCTAGGAGTTTCTCCCTGAATACACAGGCCTGGGCCTCTCCAGATCCCCTTCCCTGAGCACGAGAGGCAAGAAGCTTCCGGCCTGGTTACCCTACCCCCAGGTTAGCGAGGGTCATCCCAGCAGTCAAACCCCCCTTCCTCTGGTGCTGGTTTGAAACAGGGGTGGGCTTGGGGATTATAACCAGGGTTCTCTCTGACCTTTAGGAGAACCAAGGATCCTTCCTGCTCTGCTCCGTTAAAAGCCATCTATGTGTTCTTTGATGCCTGACCTCAGCTGTCCGTGGAGGAGTTCAGAATTCCATTAAATAATTTCCTAAGCATAGCTTTGCGATGCAGAATGTTGTTACAATCATTTATTCATTCAGTTTTTCCAACCCATTTAACAAATACCTAAATGCCCGTCTGCCGCCGGTCTACAATGGCACTGTACTAATGAGCAGAGCTAAGTTCCTCCCCATGGAATTCCCAGTCTGACAGGGGGAGGTACTGCTAACTGAGTGGGTTGCCAGTCACTAACCAACTCCAGAGGAAGTGGGGAGACACTGGCTTGTTATCTGGCTGAGATTAAAAACAGAATCCATTCCTCAGAGGTGGGATTTGGAGCTGCAGTCGGGAAGCAGCCAGCTGAGTTAGTACATGAAGTCATCTGCAGTGAAATGCTCATTGAGGGCAGGGCTCCAGGGACTGGGTTGGGTCGGCCAGGGATGGTATATACAGCACGGAGGATTTAAGGACTACAGATGAGGTGAACGGTTATAAAGGGACTGGAGCATGTACCTGAGAGGTAAAGAAAGTCCAACCACTAACTTTCCCCTTGGAGACACAGACTGAAACCCTGGAGCTTAACTCTCAAGGGACAGCGTCCCCCAAGACAGTTGGGAAAGGCCTGTGCGGGTCGCAGTCTCGTAACTCCAGGGCAGCAACGGGGAAGACTCACTGGCGGTGACTCAGCAGCCACGATGCGACCAAGTCCCTGCAGGGAGACCTAGCTCTCCGATCTTTTTGTTTCTGTCCATTTCCAGAGTCTGCTTCTTGACAGTTCTCACGGATTCTGTGAGCTCCCTCACACATTCCCGGGGACATCCTCTTCTGTGTAAAAGAACCAAAGTCTGTTTCGTAAAAGGATCTCTCGTGCACCAACCCTCATCCTCACATGTGGAAGGAGCAGGAATTCGCCTGGTCAGAAAGAATTGATCCATCTAGCCATAGTTTACATACCTTGTGAATCACCTTAAATGTGCTCCAGAAGAAAGCAGTGTAAATAAATTAAGAAGAGCAAATCATTCGACGTGCACTTGCTTCCTGCTTTCAGGCACAGAGAACTGCAGAGGGTCTCAGGCAGCTGGGAGGCTGGTGCGGCTGGGTGGATGATGATGACCAGGACCCGGTCTTGTAGAAAGATAGAACACAGTCCCCAACAATGCAAGGTCCCATGAGAACAATGTGTCACCGGTAGTGCTGTAGTCTGAGTGTTTGTCTCGCTTCAGTACTCGTGTTGGAGTTCTAACTCTGAGTGTGGCCGCATTGGAAGGCGAGGCCCTTAGGAAGTGCTGTCCTTTGGGTCTCGAGTGTCCCCCAAGTTCATGTACATGTTAAGGGGCAGTCCCTAGGATCTGGAGCCTTGAGGAGGTGGGGCCTCGCCTGCAGGCCTCGGGGAGCCGTCCACAAGAGGACTGCAAGACTCCCGCAAGCTAGACTTCTCTACCTTGCTGCTTGCCCATAAGGTGAGGGGTTTTGTTCCAGCGGTTTTGTTCCAGTGGTTCTGGGCCATCCAATCATGGTTATACAGAGACTTACATTTTTCTCCCAGTTCCCACGTAGACACCCTTTTCACGCCCTATAGTGCATGATATTTGGGAGGAGGTAACACTGGTATATATTTATCCACTAAAAGGCACATGGTACTAGAACTTGCACCCACAGAAGCTGTGACCTAATTGAACAGGAGTCTTGGAGAGAAGTTGCCCATAAAAGCTGCCCTTGATGGGAGCCACCAAAGCGGAGAGCCGAAAGAAAACTCTTGCTTTTGTGAGTTGATTATCTTAGGTATTTGTTACAGAAAGGAAAGCTGACTGACACAGGAGAGAGTAGTACCCTCGGAGGAGACCCTGGAGAGCTTGCTCATGCCTCCCACTGCATAAGACACCACGCAAAGATGGCAACCGGCTGTGACACAGGGCATGGGCCCTCGCCAGACCCTGAACCAGGCACTTAACCAGGGCTTCCAGGCTCCGGAGCTGTGAGGAATTGATTTCTGTTGTTTACAAGCTGCCCGGGCTACGGTAGTATAATGGCCCAGACTCTTGCAGGTAGTTATGACAACAAATGAGGCAGGGTTTCTAAAGCCGGGAAGTGCTGGAGGCCGGGTGAAGATGACATCATAGATGAGGAAATGAGATGCTCAGGGACTGCCTAATGATCTCCTACCTGCCGGGTGGCTGCTGCCAATGCAGGACGGGCGTTACTGACACCGAAGTCCCCCCAATGGTGCATGCAGTTGCCGTGGGATGTGTTCGCTTCAGTCAGCCCTTGGTTTCTGAGATCCCACCGAGGGCTGCACGTCTGTGTTAATGCAGAAGAACAAAAGACAGGGATTCGGAAGGAGCACAAAGTCTTCCCGCCCTGGCAAGCCACGCAGAGCCCAGGCTTGGACACTTTCAGCCCACAGTACAGCTCACTTCACAGCCCTGTCTTGTGCCTGTCCTGGCCCAGGCAGACCCAGAGGGTGAAGTGGGAGACTGAGTCACACACCCTGCAGCTCTGTCAGCAGCAGCAGGGGATGTGGCCCCCTGAGGTGGGTGGGTGATCTGGGCGGTCACTGCAGAATGCCTGACAGACCCAGAGCCCAAGGGCAGATAACCCAACCTGCTAAACCAACCCCAGTGAAACGTCTCCCTTGTCCTGTAGAGGCTCCCACCCGACAGCGTGCCGGCTCCCACCCAGCCCTGCAGCCCTCTTGTCCCGGACAGAACCCTCACCCTCGCCGTGACCACTTCAAGTCCCCCGGGGGCGGGGCTGTGCTTGGAACCTGACCCCTCAGCATTTTCCCTTCAAAGCTTAAGGTGGTGGCTTTGGTTTATATGTGACCCTTCCATTAAGACAATTTGAACATTTTTTTCAGTGACTTTTTCATCTTTGTAATTAGAGGTGAGGAGGAGAATTTCATCCCAGTGTGGTGTAGCTGTCTTTCCACTCCAGGGGCAAGGTTCTTGGTGCCTCCTGCGAAAACAAACCACATCTGCTTGGGTTTGTTTTGCTGGCTGCCTGGGCATGGCCTCCTGCTTGCCTGGGCATCCTGGGGGAGCCCATGTCCACCCAGAGCCCCCCTCAGGAAAGAAAGGGTTGTGCAAAAGTGTTTTCCAGCTCAACGCAAAACTCTCCTTTTCAGCGGCCCACAGCAGAAGGGCTTTTCCAGAAGTTCCCAAAAGCTCACAGGTTTTACTTTGTTTTTAAACAATTACCAAGGAAAAGAAAAATAAATCAACCTGAGTGAAAGCAGAGCTCCTGCTCCCTGACACGCACCAACCACTGCAAAGCCGCTGCGCACCTGCTGGGCCGGAGCCGCGAGAGATGGCAGGCGGGGCATCAGACTGGTGATTTTCCACCCCTGTTCCTCACCGAATAAACTTTCTCATGAATTAAGGTCTTGAAATTAAATATATAGATCCCAATGGGGTCTACTAGTCAGAGAGTTACACCACTACTGGGTTTCAGCAAGCCCCACTGAGGCCGATCAACACCAACCCTGGGCTGTTAGTATGATCCAGCCCCGTAAATGGCAGGGGACTGCCTGCACCCCCTGAGCTCGTAACTCTGCTCCCCAGTCATGTTTAACAATCATGGCTTATAGTCCAGGGACAACGTGGGAAGGGACTCATTAAAAGCTCTCCAAAGACTTCTTTATTAATCTGTGATTGTAAAATTTCACGGTGTGTGTGTGTGTGTGTGTGTGTGTGTGTGTGTGTGTGTTTATTTAAAGTCTGAAGATTCCCTAACTTTCCAGCAATGAATTTTTCTTCTAAGTCTTACCTGGAAAGTCACTCGTCAAAAAAAATAATCTTACAAAATATATAGGATACTAACTGGAGAAACACTGAAATGTTAGCTTTGTGCTGATGATGGTCAAGTACTGATTGGCCCAGAAGAGCATGGCCGGGGACAGGAGGACTCAGCCTGTCCTCCAAGACAGTAAGTCCTGGGCCCAGCGTGAGACTGGGTCTGCTGAGGACAAAGTGCACTGGCCAAACCTGATGCCACATTGGACCAAGCCCACTGAGCCAGGGCCTGAGGCCCCCGGAAGGCCTCTGGTGGGAGACCAGGACAGAGAGCTGCACGAGGGTCGAGGCGGTGACCCTCTACGTCTGTCTGTCCTGCACCCTGCCATAACCACGCTGCTCACCCCAGCCTGGAGCTGATTAGTAGGACATGAGGAAGTCACCATGCAGCCACCTCATCAGCCGGTGGGGCGGGAAAGGGACACATGAAAGTCTCCATTTTCGCCATGTGAAGGCTGTACTTAAGCAAAATGAGGGGAGTGCACACACTGTGTGTGTGTGTGTGTGTGTGTGTGTGTGTGTGTGTGTTCACCTTCTTTGAAATGCAACCAGGGAGAACCAAACTGTAGCCTTTTGTGGGCAAACAAAAGGCCTGCAGCTGCCTCTGTGCTCCTCCCCAACAATTAGGAGAGCCGCTGTGTTTCTCCCAAGAGCAGGAGCTGCAGTTGTGCTCCTCATGCCTGCGATTTTTACCTCACATAAGAGCCCCTGGAGGGGGCCAGGGCCTGCTCACACGAGGGTCAGGAAGATGGAGCCCTTGCTCCCTCACTCCGCTCTGAGCCTGGCACCCACACACTGCCACCTTCTGTCTGAGACCCAGTGGCCAGATCCAGAGAGAGCAGGTGGCCCCGGGCCCCTGGCACCATCCGGGTCTATGAGACCAGAACCCTCATCACCATGCCAGCCACTTGGAGTCACCCCTTTCCCTCTAGCATGGAGTTCACACCTAATTTTGAGTGAACATAGGTGTCTCCGTACTTGTAGCCGGGCTTCCCCAGCCTTCTATCGTTAATCGTCACAGTGGTCCCAGGAAAATGGTGAGCCATGTGCTCGTGGCCGTGGCCGTCTCCACCCGTCCCCTCCGCAGCACCAGCTGCCACTTCGCCTGTTGTGACGTCAGGGGGCCCCAGACGCCGCAGCTGCTCCGAAGCCTGGTTTTAAGTACTTTCTCGGAAACCTGGGTCAGCAGTCTCCGTCTGGAATGCCGTTCGGAAAATGCTTGACATTTCTATAGCAGGGCATTTGCTCACTTCGGAAAAAGTTATGAAGAGAAAATAAGGACCCAGCTCCTGTGCCAGTTCCAACGGGCCGCTCCCCTACCAGGGGCAGCTCTGGCCTCACTCTCTGCCTCAGTCTGTCACTGCACTTCTCTGCTGCAACTTTTTCAAAATAGCAACACGCAGCCGTGGCTAGCAACCACATCTCTGACAGCTCCAGACTCTGCCCCTAAAGGGAATCTCCGTTTTGGACTCTTAAATACTTTGCTTTACTTTCTTTATAATAACTCAACTGCACAGAGCAGGAAAACTTTTTTTACAGTCTCACTCAAGGCAATTACGATCGTGCGACGCGATCCACGCTGTTCTGTTACTCGCAGGAAGAGCTTAAAGAACGAAAACCAGGTTTTTGGCACATGGAGCACCAGGCAGGGAATTTCTGGAAAGCGAGGGACTCCGTCTTCAGGGCCTCCTTCCCACCCACGACGGCCGTTCGGCCCCTCAGGCCCTGACCTTGGATCCTGGTTAATCGTCGTTTGTGTACTGCTTCTGGGGGACGGGGTCATCGGGCGTTTAGGAGAATAGATGGACAGAGACCACCCAGTAAAACCAGAGAACCGTGAGGGAAGCACGCAGAGCTGCAGGAGCCGCTCCCCGGGGGCTGTGACAGGGCCTCCGTCGCTCTGGACTCCCACGGGGTACCTCGTCCTCCTGTATCCATGGGCCTCCGCGGGGAAAGACCTCAGAGTGGAGCCCACAGGTAGTTGGAAAACCGACTTTTCTGCACCACTCTGCAGCTGGTCCCGGAAGCCGTCCAAGCCACAGGGCTCCTTGCTGCCTGTGTGCGAGTTTTAAGCCCTGCATTGCTTTCCCCCTGGAGGGAGGGGGAGCCCCTATAGCCCCGAAAAAGTCAGGAAGTGGCTCAGTGGTAGCGTGCTTGACTAGCATGTGTGAGGCCTTGGGCTCCATCCCAGGAAAGGAAGGGAGGAAAGAGAACAGAGGGGAAGGAAG